TGGGTCTTTGACAGGGTATAAATACAACGAGCACAGTGGATGGGACGCCTTGTCGAGAAACAACCTGCTCGGCGTTTGACGCCCTTGCAGCAGAGGTGGTATTGTAGGGTGTATCATTGAATATTCAAGGTGGCCAGACATACACGATCTTGGCTTGTCTTCAGAATTCATATGGAGGCTTAGAAAACACTGACCTTGATTCATGTATTCTCGGACGTTTCCAAATGACAATGTTGATATGTTGACATTGTTACATGTAGCCGTTGTATTCCAGAAGCGGACATGTCGTCGCTGTAAACCATGGCACGCAGCACAGTGGTAGTTGGAAAACGTTATGGTTGGATTTTCTATCAGTGTGACGGGTATTTGATTGATTAAAGAGTCGTTCATTGTACAGCTTATGGCGTCTTTACCAATAGTGTTTGGGCACCGTGAAACAAGCCAATAACGATGCGTCTCGTAGCCCGTTTTGATAGGGAGACACTCTTTCATTATCAACATCTGCCGTTGGCGAAGTACAGCTGCCTCACTTCCAAAACGTTCCACGAGTATGTTGACGTTCAGGATGTTGTTAGCCACTATATCGGATATGTTGGAACCAAGACATGTCTCGAAGTAGTCAAAGCAGCAGTCACCATACAGAAAGCAGTTGCTGTCACACGAACACGGGGAAGTGGCATCTGTGCCGTGGGATAAGTTTGGATTCATTCTGGCCGGAACAGACCCACACTGACCACGGTTGTAGCAGGACTCGTACTTACACTGGGGCACATTGGCGAAACCTGCCATTGTGATTCTGGCTTCTTCGATGGCTTCCTGAATGTCGGCACTCGCTGGAAAAAAAGGAATTTCAATCAAACTGGAGAACAACATCGATTTGTACGAGAACACAGATTTTAGTACATTTATCGGGAAAATGTTATTTTGGCGAACGTTGAGGACATATTCATATGGTCATATATATGGTAAAAAGTGCTAGAATCTGTACTTTACTAAGAAAGTGTAATCCCAAATATAACATATGTTATATATTTTTTGTTCAATTAAACGTGTAGGACATCTTCTTTGGGTAAGGAAGGATAACAATATATAGATGAACAACGTCTTTATTGCTGTGAGAGTGACGTTTCGGTGCAGGTTTAACACCGTTATCAAGCAAGTGATGAGCAGCATAAGGATGAAGGAGCATATATACGAGTTAGAGCAGATGTTTGTACAGTACAATGGGGACTAGGAAGCCAGACACAATAACAACACAAGGGCTGGAAGCCAGATACAATAACAACACAAGGGCTTAGATGAACGCGTCAACAAATGAAGCCTGCAAAGTACACAATGGGAAGTGAAGCCTGTTGTATACATAAATAGGTGATTATGAGATGATGCGTTGAATACATAAATGGGGGATTATCGATGATGAGGATCTTTAATGAGCTGGTAGTACGCAGGAGGTATGTAGTAACCTTGGTCACGGTTGATTGATGGCTGGAGTCTTTTGATGTCGATGGCTTCTTGGAGTTTCCTGAGTTTAAAGTCTTTGAGGTTGGTCGTTAGGGTTTGGGTTCTGTCCCACTGGATACTGTGGTCGGGGTTGTCTTTGATGTGATCTGAATGGGCTGATTTTGAGTCTAGTTTGGATACTGAGGTCTGATGTTCTTTGATTCGGATTTTGAGGGGTCTTGATGTTTCACCTACGTAGGTCTGTCCACAGTCGCAGGAGACGTGGTAAACTGTTCCCTGTGGTTGGTGTTTCTGGCTGGTTGGTGGCTTGCCAGTCGCTTTAATCGTGTTGAGGATGGTGTTACTTCTTTTGAAAACCACATCTATGTTGGCCTGGTTTTTTAGGAGTCGCTCTCAGAGCAATAAAGAAGATGTTTATCCATATATTGTTATCCTTCCTTACTGCTCCAACTTCTAAATGTCTCTCAAAGAAGTTATCTTCTTCTTGAACAGTGGGTAAAATGATAAAAGAAGAACGAGTAGTACTAATGGAATAAACAGCTGATGTTCTTCGTTTTCATCTACTGATTTGTTTTGTCATTTGTTAATATTTGCATAACGCTCCAATATTCAAGATTAATGACGGCGATCAGTAAATAGTCGAGAGTTGACAAGACATTCCAGTAATTGACATTATGACACCATGGATCAGCATGATTAGAATATCGTGACATTAGGGCTGGGACGGGTAACCCGGATACCCGGGACCCGTTATGATCATGTGACTAATAGATTAAACAATGTAACATGCTATTCTTTCATGATTAAAAGGCCTTATTGTCTTTGAAGATTTAGACATCATTACAGTCAATTCTTTTGAATGTAATACATGGTTAAGATATTGAAAAACTCGAAATTTTAGCCACCGAGCTGAGGAATATATTGCCATTTCTTACAAATTTGATGTCAGGAATTAAGATAACGGGTATCCGGGTAGGGTAGGATAATAGGGAGTGGGGTACCCGGGTAGAAAATGTGAACCCGTCCCAACCCTACGTGTCATGCATCAACGATGTTTGGAAGTCTGACCACCAGATCCAGTTTGTCGCCTCTTAACACAATGACTTATACCACTGACTGACTGACTGAATTTGGTTTTACGCCGCTTTTAGCAATATTCCAGCAACATCACGGCGGGGGACACCAGAAATGGGCTTCACAAATTGTACCAATGTGGGGATTCGAACCCGGGTCTTCGGCGTGACGAGCCAACGCTTTAACCACTGGGCTACCCCACCGCCCCGAACTTATACCATCTAAAGCATGTTATTAGTAAAGGTTGGTAACTTACCCAGTTGACTATGATGTCCAAGACATGCAATGATGAAATAAAGTAGAAATGGCCTCATGGCTAAGTGTCCATCTACGTCGTGCCACACGTTGAAGACTGCTTGCGTAATGTCACAAAGAATAGGAGGCTGTGAAAGTGTCAGTTCTGGTGAATCACGAGCGTGTTTCTTTACATCGATTCTCTTATCAACTAAATGCAAGTCAATGCGTTTTCTAAATTAGTCCTAATGAGAACAAACCATCCTGGACCAAGTCAACATCAGTATCCATCATGGTGTTGACACAAACAAATCCTGTATTAAATGGTAATGCCTTTGTAAATATCATACAGACAAAATGGGAATTATTGTTGATTGTGTTGTAAATTAATGACAGGTGCCATGTGCCATGCAGCATAACAGCCACGACTACTGTAGTGAGTTTAGTTTTACGCCGCTTTTAGCAATATTCCAGCAATATCACGGCGGTGGACATCAGAAATGGGCTCCACACTTTGTGCCCACGTGGGGAATCGAAACCGGGGCTTCGGCGTGACGAGCGAACGCCTTAACCACTAGGCCACCCCCTAGGGGTATGTTGACGTTCAGGGTGTTGTTAGCCACTATATCGGATATGAAGGAACCAAGACATGTCTCGAAGTAGTCAAAGTAACAGTCACCGTACAGAGGGCAGTTGCTGTCACACGAACACGGGGGCTTGGGTAAAGTTTGGCTTCATTCCGGCCGGAGTAAAACCTACACTGGTCTAAGTAGCAGCACTCGTATTCACACCAGGGCAAAGCCTGCAATTGTGATTCTGGCTTTCTTAATGACTTCGCGTACATCAGACTCGTTTTGAAATGATGCTCAATCAAACCATGAAAGCAACATCGTCCTGTACGAGGATACACATGTTAGTACATACAAGGGGCGTGGCTTTTTCAATGACTTCTATTACGTCGGTTCGTTGGAAAAACATTACTTTTGTTCTGTGAAACCATGAAAACAACGGGAATAAGTATAAGGATACATGTTTTAATATATTCATTGGTCAAACGCATGTTTGGATGAACCCTTTTAATGTTTGCTCTTCCAAGAGGCGTTAAAGGTGGTGTTTGTTGTTAACCTGCTTGGCGAGTTGACATAAATAAGAACTCAGTACAACGTGTGAGTGGCACATCTGTGTTAACATGCGTCTCGGTGAGTGCTTAAAACCACAAGTCGGAATTGGAGCAGCAATACACTTAAACGGCGCTAAGTGAAACACAACACATGACATTAAGCCCCAGAACTCCAACATGGTACCCATGGAATTAACCCAGGCATGTCGAGCGAACGTTTCAACCACAACCCTAACATACCGCCCCTTGTTAGAATGAACATACTGTATCCGTATTATACACGATTTTAAATAAATTGTCAAATGTATTTTTCATTCGAATTCCTCGGTTTATATATAGGTCTAGTCGTAAACCACAACATACAAGGTGAGGTGAGGTGAAATTGGGTTTAACGTCGCGCTGGAGAATATTTCGCTCATATGACGACGTGCATGCGTGTGTATGTGTATGTGCGGCTGCTTGTACTAGGCCAGACTGAAGCTGGTTTTATAGTGCTAGCCCACTGAGATACTATGCCGCAGTGAAGCATGAATACTCCACTCAGACACATTATACTGACTCCGAGCCGACCAGTCCTTGATGTACCCATTAATGCCGAGCGGCAGGCAGGGACCAACAAGTACCATATTTTAACGTCTTTTGGTATGACGCGGCCGGGGATCGAACCTGCGACCTTCCTCTCTCCAGGCGGACACTCTTACCACTACACCACGGAGGTGGTCCACAACATAAAAACCCTAACGGAAACCAAACACTCTACATTGCGGAACAAAACAGAAAAAGAAATATGAGGCTGCTGTTTTGTGATCACGTGGGATGCCAATCCAGTTGCTGACATGGCATTATGCCTTCTGTTTTTGTTGGGTGGGATGAGGCTGAAGGTTAGGACTGACTTGTTGACAACTTGTGGTTGAAGTGTTTGTTTGTCTGGTAAGACAAGCCTTTGCCAAGCATATATTGCCTTGGATACATCATACTCCAATGTCATATCCCAAGAGTGTAGATCAATGCTCATGACATCACTCACTGTATTATCTATTCCAAGAATGCTGCATATGGTGATCAAAACCAAATAGCAAAGTATGTACCACAAACAACAAAATCAACTGAATGTTTTCTCTTTGTTCTTTATCATGTTATATATACAACCAAACTAACATAAATCAACTGTCAGATGAATTTTGATTCCATGAAAGTGGTAGAAAATAACTAAAATCTCCAGATGTGGACTCATTGAAGCAAAGCACTAACATTGGACACAATTTTCTTGCAAATTTGAAATATAATTTACATAATATGTGCACCACATTTTCATATATGTTCATGCTAATTATCAAATACTGAGAGCACATTATCTCCATCCTTCCATTATCAATGATGATTTGGGCCTCTGCATATGTCTGATCAGGAACTTTACACAGAGCTTCTCACATATCTGTGGAATTTGGGAGGATTGACAATTCATGTATTTTATCAATTGAAATGTTTGACAGTTCCCCTTGTTTCATTTCAATCGTATGACAGGAAATGGAACGAGGGTATTAATCTTTATATAATAGACTGGAGAAATAGTAAAACTGATCATTAAGGATGAGGTTAAATCGATACAGAAAAGTACATGTGATGTACATAACTGTTTAATTTGATCCATGTTGCCCTGTTATGAATTATTTTGAACCCCCTAACATAACAATGCATAAAACAAGGTCTCATTCCTGTCGGCATAAAATAGATGTTTTCATCAGTTGATAGTCACAGGTTGAAACCCTGTAGATTCTAACACGCTTTGTGATGGGTGACAAAATGCCAACAAGAAATACCTTTCAGCTTTATAATGCCTCTCATTTATGTCCTTATGACTCCTAACAAAATACATTGGGTGAAGAATATCCCCCAATACCATAGGATTGTAAAAACCCTGAAATTGTATATTGGTTCGGCAAAACAAGAATCTTGTAGCTCTGTGGTGTGAACAGAACTCCTAGAATCATATCCACTTCTCATACATGATATGGAATATTAACACACAAGCACTATTTGTTACAACATGAAAATGCCATGACAATTATTCTGAGTGTCTTCAGATATTGTGTAACTTTGAGTGACATCCTTCAGTGATGAGCTGATGCAGTGAACTCCCCGCCAGTAAGTGACGATGTTGCTATCTTGCAGCACCACCACCTCCCTGCTGCTGTTGCCGTCCCCGCTGCAGGCCCTGCAACACACAACACTCTCCCTCAAACAGTGATGACTAAGATGCCTCAGAATAGAATAGAATAGAATAGAATAGAATAGAATAGAATAGAATAGAATAGAATAGAATAGAATAGAATAGAATAGAATAGAATAGAATAGAATAGAATAGAATAATACTTTAATGCCTTTTCAGGAATTTGTGTTACATCAGCAGAGCTACTGACACATTAGAGAGATACCAAACATATTTACATAATTTCTTTGACTTAGGTATCTTCACATTTGTTTTAGAGAGATATGGTACTTGGAATAAAGGATGTACAGGCTTTCTTAGTTTTCACAATTGGAACTTTGTAGCGGCGGCCTGAAGGGAGGAGGTTGTATTCCGAATTTAAGTAGTGAGTACAGTCAGATATAATTTTGACAGCTTGATTCACGATTTGCCGCTCATATATTGGTGATAAACATTCAAATCTGACTCCAGCGATTTTACTTGCAGTGTTAACAATTTTGTCTATTTTTTATTTGAAATGAACTGAGAGAGACCCGTACAAACAATCGAAAGAAAATGGTTAAATACTCTGAATAAATGCTGCATAAAAAGATGACATCACAGATGGGTTAACATTACAAGATCTAAGTTTACGCATGAGATGAAGACGTTGACACTTTTTGTATAGGGCTTCAGTGTTAAGAGTTCCAGTTCAGCTTAGAGTCAATGAAGGTTCCCAGATATATTGTTAACAGCAGCCATCATGTTCATGTGTTACATGTTGAGTTTTCATGAAAACTGATTCCAGGTGTTGCTGGTAAGTACAGATAAAAACAGTAGCAGCGCCTTCTCTGGAATTTCCTCAAACCTACAAAAATCTTAACACACCTCAATGTATCCAGCCCAAAAGATTTCCCTCCCCAATTTGCCCTTGATCAAAACAACTCTGGATTAACCAATCACCCAAATTTCGGGATTATAAAAAGAGCTGTGACCAAGAAACTGACAATTAATAGCGATGTGTTTATATGAACATGAACACTGATTAAAACCTTTGCCTAATCTTGAACAAAGACTTTTCAAAGTAGGATCCCAACCCGACAGCATTATATCAAGTTTAATGTGCTTTAATGACAAGCAGGACTGCTCAGTGCCATTTGAGAGAAGTTCATGGGAGAATAATAGGTGCAGTCAACAATGTTTTAGTAAACCTCTGAAAATACACTTGTGGTGATTCCAATAAAGCCTTGAGTTCACGAGCCTGAGATGAATGAGTGTGAGTGAGTGTGGTTTTACACCTTTTTCTTCAATATTCCAGCAATATCACTGCGGGGGACACAGGAAGTGTGCTTCACACATCGTTGCGGGGTACCCATATGGGGAATAGAACCCAGGCCTTCAGCGTGATGAGCGAACACATTAACCACTAGATTACCCCCAGCCCTGAGATGTCTTTTGCAGTGTTGAAATTTATGTGAGATCACTTGTGGACTACAAGTACATTCCATGTTCAACGGTTAAGGAGTTTTGCAAATGTATGTCGGACAGACAGACAGACAGACAGACAGACATACTGATCACCGGGGTTTCAACCAGGGGCAAATATGCAAAAACAAGGTCCTTGTGAAAGGACAACTATTCATTCTGTTACACCACAATTCTCTTCAAAATCTAAGTGTCCTTTCAATTTTACTGTTTAAATAAAGTCATCTGAGAATCGAAAAATACCACCACCATATATATCTTGTGTTTTAATAGATAAATGTCAATGTTCATCATGTGACTGGTCAAACTTGATCATGTGACTGGTCAAACTTGATCATGTGATGAGTCAGTGCTCAAGGTCAGTGTAAGTCAAGTCATTTGGGAGTCTTCACTGACATGTATTTTTCGTCCCTGGATTCTTAATAGAGGCACAATAATGCACAGCATTTTCTAAGTTCTTAGTACCTGATAATATCCGGTGTGATACCCACTCATGTACCATGATATCAACATGCTACTAAGGGCTTCATCGTCGCTAACAACATCCTCGGACATCAGTGGGGGAGGCGGAGGCGGTGGAGGCATCGGAGGTACTCTCTAAAACAAAAACCCAAAACACATGTTAGTCATCATACTAACTCGCCCCACATTTTCAGCATACAGTTGTTTAGCTATGCAATTTCAAGCTGAAAGACAAAATTTTCTGTTGATAATTAATAGGGTTATATAATCATGTTCCTCCATCAGCTGTGAATGTGAAAGGGATAACATGTAAAACAGACATGTCTATTAAATTAACGTAATGAAATGAGCTTGAGTATAGCTCCTCAAAATCTGTGCTTGAGTTGTTTCAGAACTCCTCTGTTACCTGGTAATGAGACAATGGTTGTGGCATATATTGAACAAGAAATATTGCTGTCACTGTGATGTAATCTGACTGTTCATTGGTCTGAGCACTCGAGAGAGCTGCAACACTATACTGCCTTCACTGGTGGTCCGAGACATTTACCATTGATTCAATTTTCGATTCAATTGTTGAACATTTCAGTTTGGTCAGGTATTGGCATTATGAATTGCGTGATAATACTAGCTTTATGATTGGTCGAATCCTTATGATCAGCAAACCGTTACATATTTTATTTATATGATTTTTTTGGTGCCAAACTAACATAAACATAACTGAGGCAGAAGGAGAAGTTATTAGCCAATCAAATTTTATAAAGGGAGGAAATTCATGTGCTGTCAACACTAAATGACAATTTCCAGTCTAAGCAGAAAGTAATGCCCGTAAAGGTAAACACAAGTATACCAATGTTTAGAAGAACATTGTTGAGAATAAGACAAGACAAGTGTTGCCACTAATATCGCAATGTCCCCCACCGCTAAAGAAGAATGAAATATTTACTAATCCCCCCATGTAGGCTGTCAACAGATTTGAAGACATTGGGTACAATAGTTCATGAGATATTGCGTTAACAAGAGTTAGAAAAGTGGTCAAAGTGTCGTGGTGACCTTGAAAATAAGGTCAACATCACCAAAATCGACTGGCGTCTGTGTAATCCCCCCATGTAGGCTGTCACCAAACTTGAAGACATTGGGTACAACAGTTCATCAGATAGCGCATTTACAAGAATCAGGACATACTTCCGAACACACACTGCTGAATCCATATTCCCCATTCCGCGTTGCGGGGGGGTCAATAAGGTAAAAATTAATACAATGAAGAGTATTTTGTTCCCTCATTTGTCATATGATGTAATTTGCAATGGTATCCACATTTGACTTGTCTTCAACCACACAATATGCCGATACAGCATTTTTTTTTGTAGCATTCTCAAGTGATGGAGGAAGGCAATCTGTATCACCCCACAAAATCAAGGAAAATAACTTTGTGTTGTTAAATATTTCTATTTATTTGGTGTTAGATTAGATGTCAACTTACTGGTCCTCCTGCGTGAGCAGCATGGTTTGATGGAAACCTGAATGGCGGCTGTGAAAGGGAAAACAACACGGGTCATGATTCGTTTGTCTGTTGTTTAATGCAGTAATCAGTATTATTATAGCAAAATGTTAACAATTCAGTGATTGATATGATCAGAAATCAACCATGCCTTCGGGATACATTGACACAGCAGGTTGCTGACCCTGATCCATCAAAAAGCTTCTGATGACCAGCTGATTGCTGTGAACATATTACTTCGTGGAACCCCTAAGGGGTTTATGCATAATTATGAACATTCAGAGCAAAATATAGTGAAGCCATAATTCTCAATGTCCTTGGAACCATGTAAACATTTTGAGTTGCTATTGCATAACTGCTATAACAGATTAATGAACCACAAATGAATTAACTAAGAGGGTTTCAATAATTGGGCAACAGCTTTCAGGAAAAGAAGGGTAAATATATTAAATATATTAAGAGTAATCAAATTTATGCAAATACATGTGTATATGCATTTGCACTGTTTCATATCAATGATTTTGTTATGGTCCAGTAATACCCTAAATACCCACAAGTCAAAACATCCAATATGTTTGTTGTTTGATGTTTAAGGTCACACTCAGCAATAATCTAGGCATATATAAGGTCAGGGGTGGAAATAACCCATTGCCCGACGTCCGAGTCCAGTGTTTTTTTCTGTCGGACAAGCAAATTTGTATATCACACTGTACCAGGTGTCCAGTTGACTTTCCAATGTTAATTATGTTGTTTATTTGCAAAAATTAACAAGAAAACGGCCGGTATAGTGGAAAAATATTATCAGGGCAAGTGACTTTACATGTGCCACTTTTCCAGAGTACACTAGCAATTATAAAGTTATTTCCACCCCTGAAGGTGATCTGTAAATAATCAAGTCTGGACCAGAAACACCAGTGGTTGATACTATGAACAACAATTAATGCCATCAGGGTAAACAGGCTATGAACCAAGTCACTAACCCTGACCACCCGACCCTTTAGTAGCGTTTAACAAGCATAGATTGCAGCAGTTCTCACCCTGAATCTCTGAAGGTGTATAAGTGTATTCAAGTTCTGTATGCTTTAAGGAGCTATCAACTCTGCTCAGTGTATTAAATGTACTGAATTATATTGAGAATACTAAATTTTCAGATTCAGCAGTAGTGAGTTGAATTTAAGGTGGCTTTTAACAGAATTCCAGTTTTACCAGTATGTCAGCTTGACATAGGAGCCAGAAGTGACGCAGGTCCCAGACTTTTAAGGCTTTGGTGAAACCACCGAGCATAGCAATGGTGCTGACACACCCAGAAAAGTAACAGGGGTGAATCAGGATTCAAACCCACATCACACCAGAAATGGGCTACACTTTACCTACAAGGCTACGCTACCACCCCTGATACTACAGTGACAACCTGACTTACATATGGCATTCCTTGAAAGAATGGGTGAGATTCATATGATGCTCTGGTCGGGTGGTCAGGGGCTGCCCCGCTGGACTTGCCCCGCCCACCCATTCTCTGGGGGGCAGCATTCTGCATAGTCACATCATTGCTGTCAGTCTAGGGACAAACACACAACATTACAGACCAGGCATACAAACAGTATACACAGCATACTCAGGCACAACGTTTAGAGTGATAATGTTATTTGACGAAGTCACCTCCAGAAGGTTAAAACAATTACCAGCCATTACTGACTGACTGATTTTGGTTTTACGCCGCTTTTAGCAATATTCCAGCAACATCACGGCAGGGGACACCAGAAATGGGCTTCACACATTGTACCCATGTGGGGATTCGAACCCGGTTCTTCGGCATGGCGAGTCAACGCTTTAACCACTAGGCTACCCCACCGCCCCTTACCAGCCGTTACAAAAAGACAATTAATCATGAAGACTTAGTGAGTAGATACCACTGACTACTGGAACTGTTAAAAAGACCATTGTTTCACTGCTGAAATAGTATGAGGCATCCTATTACCAATATTGCATTGGCAGAGAAATATCTGAATATATTCTTTCACCATCATTTCATGAACTCTCACATATTATATTCAACATACAGCATATATCCATGATGACAAAGCAGAGACCCTAAACTGCAAAGCCTGGTGTTCTGAGTTTCCAAGTACTAGGAATTTGTCAAGTCGTACAACAGGGGATGATTACACAGCACACAACTCATTTAATTTAGCGGGGCAATAACATATTTATATATTCTTTCCTCTAAATTGACTTATCATTGTCAAATACTCAGCAGCTAGCCATGGAAGCAGCATAATCACGTTTCCTGAGACGAAAGCAGCCCAACTGCTTCCACCACACTCGGACTGTGAAGTATCAGAGCTTCTCCTCCACAAACAAAACAGCTGGGACTTTTGTCAAAGAAGACCTCATCTTTTTTATCTATTATACAGCCCCCACCACGTGGAGTTACCTCCCTGCTACACATGCGCAGCCAACCAGGTAAGCACCTAGGCCCGTATCATCATTCCTTCTACTGAATAAATCAGTAAACAGAATTGCGGGGAGGTGGGTGGCCCTACCCCAAGGACGATTCTCTTCAAAGAATAGGAAACCTCTACAGGTTTAGCTAATTCTTTGCCATAGAGATCATCCTTGGGGTACATATATGCATTAACTCAGACTCCCAAAGACCGGAGGCTAGGGAGGAAGGGATTCTGTCAAAGTACACATAAATAGCGATCGTTAGGAAGAATGTAACAGATGCCACAACACTCACATGTCACGTGTCCCGAAGCTTCCACGAGAGGCATGATGGGAGGGTTACCGACAGGGAGGAAAGTACTGAGACCCGACCTCACAGGTTAAGCAAGACAAAGCGCACACAGTGCGACAGTAAAAAAACCCGCCCCCATCGCGAATCTATTAAAGAGCACCGTAAGGGGGAAAACCAAATCACAACCGACCATAATCTCCTGAGAGAAATCGAAAGTAGTTAGATATGATAATAGCGGATATATCAATTATACACAATTGAAAGCAGCGTCAACTGTCCAGATAACCAAGAGAGGAATAGAGAGAGGCGCCCCACTGGGACATGTGGTAAGAGGGCGTGAGTGGTCCCCTGCAGATGAACTGGCTGGGACGGACCCACGGCGACAGCCTGCAGGTTTAATGGGAGTTTGGGGCAGACCCCCAGCGACCGCGAAAAGGCTGCTGGGAGCCAGACGAAGAGGCCTGCTCCTTACCCTTACCTTTGGGGGGACGGCTCCACCTCCTACCTCTACCCAGCGGCCTAAGCCAGCCAGCAGACTCGGGCGTAGGCTGCGCCCCGGAGGAAGAACCCACTACGGGAGCGAGAAGCCCGTGGTTGCTCCAACAAGGCCTTAGAATCCTTGAAGGAGGTAGCTGCTGCAGAACAACATTCGGGGAAAAGTCCCCAGTGCTCCCTTCCGCCTCCAGAGCCGACCTTTTGATCAAGGAAAGGTACGCCTCGTGGACCACTACCCGCATCTGCTGCATGGCATTCCGGTAGACTTCCTCGTAAGTCCGGTATGCCTGGTGCAGGGGGGCACCCGCTTAGGCAAACGGTGGAACTAACCGCCCCTGCTTAGCTGCCGGGGCTGCACCTGAGGAAGCTGAGCCTCCCCCGAGGGCGACTGAAGTGAACACGCACTTGACAACCACCAGCACAAAGAACAGAGAATCATCCCCCAGCTGATACCTCTTAACGAGTTCGGGTAAATCGAACCGTAGGCGAGAACCAACCAGGAGGGGATCCATCATGTCCTGCACCAGGGAAGGCAGGATACGGAGCTGTGTCTGAGGGGATTGCCTAGGGGTAAACGCCTCACCCGGCAAGCGGAACTCAGTCGAGTCCGAGGGGGGAGGGAAAGGCCATACACAGTTCGCAGATTTCAGGGTGATGCCCCGCTTTCAGCTCTAGGGATATTCTGCCTGCAGACAGTACACCCAGTAAACGCCTGAAAGCAAACACGCAAGCATGTAGCTAACGGCGGAACACAGCAGCATAAATATACACGTCCAAAACATTGAAAATTACGTGAATGCGACAACGTGACACGAAATACTTGATTAATAACGCAATATTTCAACCACGTGGCATGCTAAACTTCCCGCCATGGAATAGCAACACGTGCGTAAACCACGGGAAAGCTAGCGTAAACATTTAATACAAAGTCACATAAATGAGAAATAACAGACTGCAAAGTCAATAAAACTGTTCTCTCAAGAACGAATAAAGACCATACATACAGTTGTTGAAGTCTCAGACATTGTTCTCAACAGAAGTAAATCAGCTAGTAACTCGGAACACGTGTGAATGCTTGAGTGACAGCAGAAGGAATGATGATACGGGCCTAGGTGCTTACCTGGTTGGCTGCACATGCCTAGCAGGGAGGTAACTCCACGTGGTGGGGGACGTATAATAGATAAAAAAAAAGATTTTTATTTATGGTACAATATTTTTATTAAAACATTGATACAACTGTCACATGCCATTTTCAGCCGCAGAAAATGCATATATGTACCCCAACGACGATCTCTATGAAAAAGAATTACCTCACTGAGTGAAACATTGGTGTGTGCTTTAGAAGTAGGTCGCGGCGGCAGGAGGCGATCCAGTGGCTGGTTTTCTTCATTCTGATATTCTGTGTATCTGACAGTGCAGGTGCTCTCAGCCTCATCAATGCCAATAATCTCTGCATCATACAATAGGCCATCTTCGGTGAACACAGCTCGGCAGGAATCTCCGATCTTCCACTGTTAGGACGACAGTATCTTGAAATCAACTTTTGTCAGTTTCCCACATGTAACTCTATGAACATGGATACCAATCAGTCAATAAGACCGTAATGAAAACTAGCTAAACTAACAGTAACTTAACCTATCAGTAGCTCAAAATACTGCAAGGAACAGTTGTAACTTTGCCTTGAAATCACAACTATTACATGGTGACTCCTCCCCTTATGTTTATCAAAAGACACTTGATAACAGACTGAACTCACAAATATATCAGTGGCTCAAGAAGATGTGTACCTTAACAAGTGGTTGGTGCTTTGTAAAAGACTACTTTCATCCTAGTGTTACATAATCCATCATTCCCACATCATCTGTGGACTAGTTCAGTTTGAAGTCATGCATTTCCCTTTTCTTGACTGGTCATTTGTTCTGTTTTCCCAACTATGTTTACCCCCAGTTTCAAAGGCTTAAGATCATCATGTATTTATGACAATTTGCAGTTTTAATGACATTTCCTCACCTTTTGCTGTTGCTTTTTCTTCTTTGGACGATGTTTCTTCTTTTTCTTTTTCGCTGCACCATCTTGTGTTTGTGTCACTGACTCTCCAGCCATTTCCCCATTCTCATTGGTGCCCCCTTCTCTTTCTGCTAATCGTGCCTACGTGGACAAAAAAGAAGAAAAAGAATTTTAGTTGGAGTCACTCATTATTCTAAGCAACATTGCATAAATTAAACTAAGTACAACATTTATCCCTGCGCTATGGATATTTGGATGCTTAAGATACATTCCTAGCAGGGTTTTACCTCAAACATGGAGCTCAAGGTCCTGGGGACCCCTAATTATTAGTTTTAAGGGTACTTGCAGGCAATACGAGGTTCCTGTGAAGTAACGGTGTAGAGAACCGTACCTTATGATAATTTCTTGAGTCATTGATCATGTGGACTGATGTATGAAATGATGCAAAACCCTGTTCCTAGGTTTCTGGACAATTACACGAACAACTGTAGTTAACTTAAAGACAAGCAATCAGAAAGGAAGGGAAAGAGAGGATATATGATTTTTTTTCGGGGAGAGGGGGGGATGCACGGTCTGGATCCACCCCTTGTTTATGGGTCCAGGACAAGTAAAGCTGAACTATTCTTGCAGTCTTGATAGTGTAAAGAAACTCCAGCTCTTAAGTTTACGGATTACATAATGTTTACTGATGAATTATGCTTTAATTATGGCATGCTTATCTTCACAAACACACATCTTCATGCCCTATGCCACCCTCAAAATGTAATGCATTTCTATCCCTGAATAAACATTGCCACTTGCAAACATATGACAGCTGAAGACATATATACTGATTACCCCATGATACTTTAGTTGCAACAATTAAGATATTTTGTATGAATCATCAGCCTCATATTGGACAAGATAATTAATGTTGTTACCATGGTTACAGAATACATACCTTCATAATTGATGCTGCATTATCATATGCCTTAATGAGTGCAGTGTCATCCCAAATGTCACTTTCATCACTCTGAAAAGGCAGCAAAACACGTTTCAACATTTATGTCATCAAACATCCACAAAGAATCGAAAGTGGTGCAAAATTGACAACACTATTTTGTGCACTCTGATGAAGCATGAGGGTGGTGCAAAATCAACATGACTTTAGTATGAAGATCAAGGAGGCATGAATATTAGCTATGTATACTTGGCGTGTAGATCAGTTAGTAAAATAGGAATAATACAGAGCTAAGATTTGCTGCTAATGCAGACATATATATACAGATGTACATCAGATTCATATAAGTTGGCAGTTCAGCACAATAATGTGGTTGTCAGTTGAATGTACCCACTGAGGAAATTGGTAGGACAAATGAGTGGCTGCTGTTATGAATGATGTGATGAGGACATACATACATGGTAGTGGGGGCACTATTTTATTTTAATCAGAGCTCCTGGGAATTTGCACTGCCAGGTTGATGCTAGGGTAGGCTAATGAGTTCATCTGACTGGCCAGAGCCATAGGTGTTTACCAAGTGAACCCTACCCAACAGTTTACTGTAGAAGACATATTTTCCTCTGTAACACTCAAACCCTAACTCTCAAATAACACTAAGGATAGTAAAGAGGGGCTTGACTTCAAAGGGCTGCCCAACCCTTTTAACAAATCCAAATGAGTGCTTGACAGAAATGGGGCTTGGGATGGAGTTGGTGGAAACCTCTGAACATTGAGGAATCGAACATCACCAAGTGAAAGTCATTGCAGGAAGCCTGAAATTAATCACTAACCACCTTTGACAACATCAACAATGGCCCATAACTTATTGACGATACTTATGATTTTACACTAACTTCATCCGAAAGACTGTCGTGACACCTTTTCAAAACACGGTCGGTGTTATGTCTGAGAAGTTGCATTTCCATACTTTCCCACAAAGACGACGAGAGACCTACAGGAAACGCGATCGTATGGTATACGTTCTGCAGTGCCCAGAGGTCTAACTTCGAAACGCACGCTGTTCGTTTAGTTTTTCAGCGCAACGTGACAGTTGGTCTTACACAGAACTGTGCATTTACAACACAGTGCACTATGAAATAACGATGGAAATAGCAATGTGGACATTTATACATAAAACTAAGTTACAAGATTTAGATTTTATTAATCATTGCACACCTCTTTTCCACGTTGAAATACAACATATCCACTCTCAGCCGCTGCCATGTTGCCTACACTCTCCATTTCTGGGTTGCAACCTCGAATGCGATTGGGTATTTCACTATCTAAAGCCAATCAAATACGTGCTCACGTAAATCTATGATGGAACTATTGATTGGCTACTACTAGAATTATTCACCAATCAACGAATACTTTATGGAAACTATGCGACAGCAAACCAACATGGCCTATAGGCTGTCTTGATATTATACCAACTTTCCATAACATTGCAATTTAGCCTTGTTATCTTATTATCAACTATGTATCTTTGGGGACGCGATCAAGATGGAGGTTGGTCCGGAGGGAGGCCACCAACAAATAGCCGTGGACCTGGCAATTCTAACCAGGCCAGCATTTTGATTCAAATGTCTGCACAGGAGAAGATGATAGCAGAAAAAAAGCGTCAGATTCAAGAAAAATTGGCTAAGGCACAAATGAAACAATCCGAAAAATCCAATACCGATCCAGGCGTTCAAATGAAACCGACAATGCCGCTGTAAGTGTGATCATTTTTTTCAACTTTAGGCTATATAATAGTATATTATTAAAATATTTAGACTTTTATTTATCACAAACCTCTCTTGTGACATAGTTCCTTGTGTGTAGATACCTGTATTTTTACTCTGTAAATGAAATAATCCATCACATATTCATATTCCAACACATTCATCTGTGGCCGTATGCATATGTCGGGCGTAAATTCTAGTCTGGGCGTAAGTAAAATGTGCCCCGGCGTAACGTTAAACTGGTATGCATATCTTAGACGTAACTAACGTTTACGCCAGGCATAGCACTCTATATTTACGCCACCTACCCAGCAGGCGTATCCCTGTAATGGCGGCAGTCGTATACAGATATCGCAGACAACAGTTCTACAGAAACCGTATATTTAGAGAAAGATCAAACCTTTTACATATATACCACGACCTGGATCTGTACAGAAGATTTAGATTCAGGAGAATTGACATTTTCAAGATAATCAAAGGTGATATTGATTATGGCTCGTACTGCAATTCCACCCTTACCCCGGAAATGCAGGTACTTGTAGCCGTACGGTTTTGTTTCAAAATGTAGTTGGGGATATTGTCAAAGTTCATGAATCTACGGTTAGTCAAACAACGTCTTGTTTTCGTCGATTAATTACATTATTTAAAAGTTTGGAGCTGAGAAGATCCTTATAATCTCCGTACATCTTATTTCTCCATCAGTAAAGTTGAGTTTTTTATTGGCTTTCTTTGGCTTTCGATGATTGCGGTTGAAACGGATGTGCTGCGAAGTTGTTTCGTGTTTTCCCGGTGGTTTAAAAAGTTCGAAAATCTAAAAATAGCACACTGTGCCTTGACGTAAATCCGTTTAGTCGGGTGTAGTAACGCCTAGACTTAGATGATGTTGTGCATGACATGTAAAAGCAGGGCACTGCTAAGCCCGACGTAGTGTGTTACGCCTGACGTTAGCTACGCCCGACATGTGCTTGGTAACCATTACTTACAGGAAAAAGGCATTTCCTCTACACACAGTGTACAAAACTTGTGCAGTGATCATATTAGTTTACTGGTGGGTAAGAACTTGGGTCTAACTCCCTGTAAGCCTATGCTTGTTTTAAGAGAGGTAACTGAATTGACAGGGTGGTCAGGTAGTGTGTCATACAGACCCTGAAGGAAATATCTCCAAGAAAGCCCACGCAAGTCTAGAAAATGTAGCAAGTTTAGATTTCCACAGCTTCTGAAAATGAAGAAAGTCTCAGGGCTCCTTTTCATTATATTTTATTTTTTTTACTATGAACCTTTTTATTCTGTAAAATATGTTCATTTCAGAGACTAGTTGTTAGTCTAGGTGGTCAGGCTCTGTAGCTAGACAAGAGCAACGATGGGGTTCTACTATCAAAATATGACCCTGCATCACATTGGAGGGTTATGTCTTGACTGTAAAACACTATGATGGCTCTCGGCTAGCTCTAGCTGGTTGCAGTGAATGAAACTCAAAGTGTCAATCGCTGACACTGAACTGCCTAACTCAGACTCAATTGTTTATTGCAACTATATCGTTGGGATATTGCTGAGCAAGTCATTAAACATGTTAAACATTTTAAACAACAAGAAACCATCCTGACAAATTATAAGCTGTCACAAATAAACTAGAAGCATGCTTGGTAATTGTGTATATGCTCCCTTGCTGTGTAAGCATACTGTCAATGCCGTTGCAGTGACCAACAATGACTAAGTGTGAACAACACAAACTCTCATAGTACTCATATACTTCTATACCTTCCTGTGTGTCGCAGGTTTGGAAGGCGTCCAGGTGTAGGATTAAAGGGTAAGCCAGCAAGGGCTGTTCCTGTCTTGAAGTCTGGGGTAATTCCAAAGAAAACAGTTGCGAGTGAACCAAGTGAAACAAGCACTTACTTTGCTGAGCTAACAAGATTGCAGCAAACACCAAGTAAGTATTTCATTTAACTAGGAACCAATTACTGTTCACATTGTTAGCATGGTTAGCGGAAATGTGACATAATTTATGTAAGAAAGTAAATAATATTATGTTTTCTTGTTGATTTTGTTCATTAAAAAAATTAGTAAATGACTAAAGAGGTAGGGCTGCAACGATTCACACAGATCTCGATTCGATTTTCGATATTGGACCCTCGATTTGATTCTTCATACAATAGTTTGGCATGAAATGCATGTGGACCCGTTTTTTTGTAAATATCTCTTCATCCAATGACCCAATCGATCTTAAACTGTGCAAGTGGATGTTTTGTCAGACAACCTAATCACATTGTAAATCACCGAGTTTATGCATTTGTATTAAAGAATCTGTCTATGTAACTGTCAACAAAATAAACAGCAGAACGCAGAATGCTTGCAGAGGGCGGGAGCCAATGACCTGTAACAGCGGCAGTGTTGGGTCATAAAGGTCAATGCACGTGCAGTTCATGATAGTTACCTGTGCACTGCACAGTGATAGACCGTTTGGATCATTCACATTGACTACATCTAGCTGTCATCATGAAAGCTTATTCAGATGATGCTAAACATTTAATTAGAAATGTGTTGAATTTTTTTTAAAAAGAGAGCAAACGTAGCAAACCGATTTATAAGGTGTCGGATTACATGAAACGTACAACTTTTGCTCTTGGCATGAAAAGAACATCGTGCTAAAAATTGTGAAAAATAAACCAACAACCAATAAGCAAAACCTTGTACAAAAAGGTAGGCATCCAAAGTTAGATTCTTTTGACATCAGGGTCATCAGAGATGTCATTCACCGGCTATTTGCAAAATTTAAAGATTTTAACCTACAGAATAATTCTCACTAATGGGTTTTGTGGTTAATGTTGAACAACTCAGAGAAACAAACTCCGTATGATGGTTAACAGTTGGCACCCACCTTACCCTATTCACGACCTGTGACACCTCTTCATACCTGTCACGTGCATAGCTGACCTACATTGACGAACGTTGACCTTTATGACCCAACACTGCCGCTGTTACAGGTCATTGGCTCCCGCCCTCTGCAAGCATTCTGCGTTCTGCTGTTTATGTTGTTGACAGTTACATAGACAGATTCTTTAATACAAATGCATAAACTCGGTGATTTACAATGTGATTAGGTTGTCTGACACAACATCCACTTGCACAGTTTGAGATCGATTGGGTCATTGGATGAAGAGATATTCACAAAAAAACGGGTCCACATGCATTTCATGCCAAACTATAGTAAAAGCATCAGATTTCATTTAACTCTCAGATTCGGCTTTTTTATAGTGAAATCCACTAATTAGCCAAGCGTCAACCAATCACGTTTCACCTAATTTCAGCCCTCGAAACTGTTCAAATTGGAGTAAGAATTACATTCTGGCTGTGTGGAAATAATTTAGATTGGTAGTCAAATATCGAATCGAGATAGCGATAATGGTTATTGAAAGTCAAAACTTAGGTGTCAGATTCGATTTTTGATGAATCAAATCATTGCCGCCCTATTAAGGGGTCCCAGGTGGTATTATACTGTCCATGTTTCTTGTCAATAAACCATGGAGGATCATTGGTCAGAATAATGTTTTAACATGTATTTTTGTGTGACATCATTCCTTAATTTTATGGATTGTTGTTAATGCCATCTGCCAGTGGTTTGTCAGGTCAAGGCTATACAATGTAAACCTGCACAATGATATGGCTGGCACTCTTTTCGAAGAGAAATGTGCCAGTACATACGAATGTATAGAATGGATGCAGCAGGAAAACTTTAGTAATATTTGCTGTGCAGAGTTGCATCCCTTGGGCACCAGAAACCTATGATCATGGATTTGAATCACTGTCTACACTGCTTTAGTCCATCTCACAGTCCCTGAACTGCATTATTTCCCCTGTCGCACAGCAATATGTTAAAGCCATATCTGCAATGTTAGCAAGTCCAGATTTCTTCAGGTTCTGAATCTCCCATCTCACTGGGGCTCCTTTTCAGTTCAAAGGATCTGTTGTTTCTATTAAAATTATATATATATTCAGTGACTAAGCCTTAGTTTAAGACTGGTTATGTTTGTGAGTTTTTCAGCGTTATACCTGTGCTTAAGAAATACAGTTCGCTCTACCACCATGTATAGTGTAATAAGGCACACTTTCACCCTGAACTATTATAGTTAAAGTAGGAGGACACTTGCGTCCGAGTGCTTTAACCTTATAATAGTTCAGGGCGAAAGTGTGCTTTATTACACTATACATGGTGGTAGAGTGAACTGCATTTCTTTTCTAAGATGCCAAATTTGATACTTTCTAAGGATAATTACGATTAATTTAAGGCAGAAAACAAATGACAGAGTCAGTGATCTAAATTAAGAATCCTTGCACAGGGCTAACTGGCGCTCTGTTCTATTGATGTGTCTGCCCCCTACGTTAAGACAAACGTTACCAGAAAAAACAAATGATAACAGATTGATGACGGTTAACGTTCGGATTAAATATCTTCTCTAAATTATTTTAGTTACATCTGTGATTTACGTAACGATATGGGGCGATATGAACGTCACATTTCTACTACCAAAGTAAGTTTAGATCAGTACATCCAGATTAAGCTGAGAAGTCAAGCGACATTCCACGATTGCATTGTGGGAATGTAAACATTGCGAACGTTACCGTGTCGCTGAAAACTTGTGAGTCGAATTGAGACATTTTAACCGTTGGAAAACATATACATAATGTATCCACCAGTGATGTTACTGTTAGCTGAGTGAAGCAAGTACAAACCAAGAAACGGGATGCAACGGAGGAGTTTACTGTAGGAGGCTGTACGAGGCGATGACAACTGACATGCATCGTGACGTCGCTTACATTGTGACGTAATGCAAAATTGTTCGATTATGAGGGGGCAGACTAGAATGGCGCAGTGATGCCAATACATTGTGACGTAATGCAAAAAGTGCACATTATCGTCCGATAAAGTACTGTCGGCACCTTTGACCTTTCACCGAAGCATCTTAGAATTGGGAAATGACATGCATCATTTCAGGCTTATCTCCCAAATGTCACTGACACTCTTATGATCTATCACAAATACTGTTTGAAACAGTGTTAAAGCAAACTTAATCATTGTCTAACAAGAAATATAAAGGTCCTGTAATTAAATTAATTAGGAAATATTACATTACAGAACAGAACATTACACCACTTCATTACTTTACTTTTTGTACGGAATCTTGTAATTATTAACTGGGCGTTCACTGGACTCCCTAGTTTTGTATGTCAAGGTAAAATCTGGCAATAACATAACCCACTGTAGTGTATGACCATGTTTATTTGTTGTTTCACTTATTTCATCTAATATATCACATTATATGTGGAGAATTAACTTTTCCAACAGTGGCAAATACAGCAGTTCCAGGAAAGAAGGTGCAGAGTGCTGCTCTCCTTGAGGCTGTCAGGGCTCGGGCCAGATTTGGTAACATCACCGGAGAAAGTGAACCACCACCACAACCACCCCACATGTCCTTTCCACAGCCAGAAGCACATTACAGACGTGCACGATCAGAATCTCGATCCAGGTCAAGGTCAAGGTCCAGATCTAGATCCAGGTCAAGGTCAAGGTCCAGATCTAGATCTGCATCTAGGTCATATAGCAATTCCTCCAGTAGTCGTAGCAGGAGTCGACGCCGAAGTAGAGGGAGGAAACGAAGTCACAGTAGTAGAAGCAGCAGTAGAAGCAGAAGCAGGAGTTCCTCACGGAGCTCTAGTTATTCCCGAAGCAGGAGCCGGAGTCGAAGTCGCCACAGTCGAAGCAGAAGTCGTGATCGGTATCAGCGCGTCCGTGACAGAGATCATGGAGGGTATCGAGATCAGGGCAGAAGAGACTATGACAGTCAGATTAACAAGAAACAGGAGAGATTCCAAGAAGCCTATGACCCTTCTGCACCCACTGAGGATAGTCCAGGTTTGATATACTTTGAGATATTTGTATAAATGTTTAAATAAATACTGCAGCTACCAGCTTGAATTTTAAGCTAAAAATAACATTATGTAAAGTAAATGCTTGTCTTTCTTATAAGATTTTACAGCTACCCCTCTTAGAATAAATACATAAAAATGTCATTAGCATTATTTTTGCAACTTCAACATAGGTTCTCATTCTATTTCGAAAGATACAAATATAATAGCAGGGCTCTATTTAAGGAAATGAAACTTGCTTGCATCCAGCGCAACCTTAGGTGATAATCTTGTTGCACCAGACAAAAACAGTGCACCTGCTGCTCAATATAAAATTATGCCTATTGCTTGAGATTTAGAATTGATAATTAAGAACGTCACTAACAAATTATTCTGGATCTGATAGATCATTGTAATTTACTTCATAAAAATGAATGACATGAACTGTAACATTCATTCAATCACTGTCCATGTCATCAGAGTCACAACCCAGTTTCTCACCATTCAGTTTTCCAGCTGAAATCTGTGTTCTTTGAACAGCAAAAGATAGATGTGCACTGAATGCAAATTTGTATAAATATGAGGCTGCATTTTGCAGTTTCAGGCTGCACTGATGCAAGTTCTAAAAGCATTAATCGAGCTCTGAACATTCTGAATACTCATAAACACACAATGTTAAGGACCAGAGAGTTTTTGCGTTTTACAAAGCAGGACAGATTAACTGTTGTAATATGAAAGAATTGGGTGGCCCTTAACTTTGTCTGAATAGTATATGTCAGTGAACAATGTTTAGGATTTCATTGGCTGTTGTGACATGCTTGGAATGATGTAGCTTACTGAAAATGGTGTAATATGTAGAAGGAAAGTGCTATATGAATGTCTGTGGGTTTTTTTCAGTGAAACATGAAAAAATAGCGTTTGGGGATCCTGAAAGAAATTCCCCTCTGATACCAGTAGCCTTGTGAGTACAAATGTGGTGTTTTTGTTTCTGAAATGAAAATTTTACAATGTTCCAATGAAAATATTGCTGTATCATTTGTACAATTTTGATAATTTATGTACAATGTGAAACGTGCCAAGTGATCATATTTCTTCCACTACCTGTCCTTAAAGGATCAATTGCATTCTCTGCATAGATGACTGAAATAATTATGTCATTAAAACTTGTTTAATTCATTACAAAAGTGAGATTATCATTTTCTTCTTTCTCATAAAAATTTAATGTAAAAATCACGAACTATTGTATTTGAAATATGATGTCTTTTAGCTGGCATTTAGAAGTTGTTATTGATGACCAAGATATTTTATGGATTTAAGCTTCCTTATTCTTTCCCACACAACATTTCGAGATCATTCGGGATGAAGGGATCTGTAATGATCCCAAAACGTTGTGTTGGGAAAGAATATTGAAATATCATTTGTTATTTTTTAAACTTACTGCACCTCATGCATGGATTTGGGACAGAATAGGCCAGGAGCATTGTATATGGATAGTGCAGCGATGATGTGTTCCGTCAGACAGGTGCTTGTTTGGACCAAACTCAGTTATGTGCCCCTGATAAAGTTGAAAAATCTCTCTGTGATGCATTCTCTCTTTCACTCACACACTCACTCTTTGCTTCAGCTCGGTGGGTCATGGCACTGGTAACGTCCAGCACAGACCGCCACAAGTGAGCCTGCCAACACCTCCTGTAGGGCAATATGGGACACCCGTAGAGCCTATGGTGAAAAAGGAGAAGCTATCAGATGTGTTTGATCTGCAACCCGCATCTCCAGCAACAGGTAGATGTGTAGATCAGTATTTAACAGTACTCCAGATAATATTTAGAGTTGTGTTTTATCCATAAAAAAACATCTGTACTTAGTTAATAGAGATTGCAGAATCTAAAGATTACATTATACACAGTGCTGTTTTGCTAAATTTGTTCCTTTTCAAATTATACATGCAGTTCCACATGTTCACAAAAATGCAATTAGATAGATGTGTATCTTTTGTTTTTAATTTGCATATTTGTCTGGAGCACTGATTGAGATAGGGTGTAATGCTTAATTTGTTTTGCTAAATAGTGTTGTTTAAGTGGAACCTTGGTATTTGGATCATGACTAAATTGTAATGTTGATTATCTTGATTTGACTTATCAAAGCATGATTTATTCATTATTGCAAAAGCTCCCTATATTCATTACTGCATAAGTAATTGGGACATTACCCAAATCATTGTTTATCTGGTGTTTACGTAGAATCGATGTTACAGAAATTAAGTTACTAAGCTGATCAGCACAGTTACCAAGGTTCCATTTGTCATGTTATCTTAGGAAAATAGAAAACTGGAATCTGTAAATCATACTTTGACCTGTTTGTTAAATAATATGCGAAACAACTTAAAGTAATTTGTAAACATAAAGTGTTGATTCCAAAAATTAGTTGATGTCAGTGTGAACCATACTTGAAAAGATGGACAGCGCTGTTTGCATTGTGTTGCTAGTGGTACAAACTGGCAAAGTGCTGGCTCTTTATTAGCAACAACACACGAAGTAATGTGAGAGGGGGCTAGAGTACTGATAAGGGTCTTCTAGTCTTACCACCAGACAACCCCGTACACGAGAGGCCTGTGACAGACTGGCAGTGCAGATTGCTGAGGGTACTCCAGAACTGGAGGAGGTCTTCAGAGAGCAATACAGAAGTCAGCATGCCAAATACTAGTAAGTCTTTATTACAGGAGACTGGTGATTCCAATGTTTAGTCTGTGTACGTTTCATTGTGATATGGGGGCGTGTTGTAGCCTGGTGGTATCCGCTCGTCTTGACAAAGGCCTGGGTTCAATTCTCCACATGGGTACAATGGGTGAAGCCTATTTCTGTTGTGCCCCTGTTGTGATATTGCTGGAATATTGTGGCATATAATCGTAATCGCTCACTTAATGTGATTTGTCCACCTGTGGACTTATATAGAAATCCTTTATTTATTCAAGGTGTCTACATGATAGTGTCTGCAAGTTGACTAAGTCATTGACCAGTTTTCAACTGTCTACAATTCTGATTCATCACAATTTAAGTCGTACTTGTCAGATCCTTACCTAAGCATCCCCTAAGCAAATTTGAAGCAATAAATTGCAATCCAGATCAAGTTTTTACAATTTTATGTTATAGAGATTTTTCTGGGTTACAATTTCTTTTTATTCTTGAGTACAACATTTCAGGGCTTGTTCTGGCCCCATCATCAGGTAAAACTGATCAGTAACTGTTAACTCTGCCCGTGACGTCACAATGCTATGACGACGCAATACATGTGGAGATCAATAGATACAGCTAACAGGGCTAATAGAATACATGTTATTATAAATATATATAAATCGTTTATTGTCCCTGATGACGGGGCCAGAACAAGCCCTGAAAAGAAGATGTAACCCAGAAAAATCTCTATGTTCTTCAAATAGCATCTTCTGAAATGACAATCAAGCATCTAATTTTATGTTAGTTTATGTGAAAACATTCCCATGCATCATACTTTAAATTTCTGGATATATTTCTGAAAAATACAGATGATATCTTTTTTTTGAAATTGCACCATTGCTTAAGTATGTTACATAGATTGTTTGAAAAAACAACCCAATTTGTTGCAGCTTTTTATATGACACCTCATGTGAGGCATACAAGTATTTTCGTCAAAAGATCCAGGAAGTGTACCGATTGTCCGCAGATACAGGCAATGCAGCTGACACAGAAGGAGACAAAGGTGGGTTGTCAGTAGATGCCGATCATATCAGGACAATGATAATCCCTTAGTAATAAAGATCTCTTTTTGTTGCTGCAGGAGTTCTCCTGGGATCGGCCTTAGGGCCCCTGCTATTTATGATGTACATTAATGACATTATTGGACGGTAATATCTGCCTCTTTACGGATGATACAGCAGTATACGTTATTGTAGATGATCCTGATACATATACAGTTCATACTGACTTTGATAAAGTCTCAAATTGGTCTGAAAAATGGCAAATAAATTTCAATTCAGCTAACACTGAGGCCGTATTATTTTCACGTTAAGTTAAATTATGTCCAAAGCCTGGGTACTAAAAATGAAAGGCTTTGATGTTGCTGAAGTCAATACTCACAAACATTTAGGATTATGCCAATCTGTGAATATTGTTCACATTTCTAGGAAATACAAATTAAACCCAAAATCAATAGAAATCAGGTTCCTCAGGGCATTATGCCAATCTGTGAATATTGTTCACATTTCAGGAACATTTTCAGGTTCCTCAGGGGCACGAGCAACGTATGATACATACAGAGACTAAGTTTCAGTCACTTACCAATCCCTAATCTATGTGAATACAAATACAATGTTTAAGCCACTCTTTCTGAGATCTTTCTTACCCTACATGAAACTGATGCTGTAACTGGTATACTGTTAACATCCCAAAGACTTGGGTAATTATTGGATCTTAGAAACGTTGGCTTGGTTAAGATCAAGGCCTGGAAGTTATGTTTTTGGACTGAAGTACTTGTAGTATAGTAGACTAAGCTTTGGAGGAAATGGAGTTTGGGTGGGGTTACCTCTGTTTTTTCAGTTATGCCCAGAAAGTATCTTGTTTACTCACCCATTCACTCACTCACTCACTAAACAAAAGCCTGGTTGTGTTTACAGATGGTACAGACGACAGGAAGCCTTTGAGGAGAAAGAAGCGTAGTCGATGGAGTGAGGATGCTGGTAGTGGTGTAGGACCAGCCCTGCCTGTACCAGGTGTTGCTAATCCAGTTCTGGGTGCCCCAGGTTTGGTCAACCCTCAGCTTGGGGCACCAGGGTTAGTTACCCCCCAGCTTGGAGTTGGAGGCCTTATAAATACAGCTGTACCTCCCATGCAAGGTTTGTATTTTATGAGTGATTACTAGACAGTGGATGGTAGGAATAGGAACTTCTTTTATTCCATGAGTGCTGCGTTTCAATACAGATTCTTGTACTGTTGTCAACCAGTGTTTCAGTCTTGAACCGTTGTCACTGTTTGACAACAGTACACAACTGTATTTTGAAATGTTACTCAAAATAAAAGAAGCGAATAAAAAAAGTTGTTTTCCATGAAATTTGTATATAATTGAAAATTAACTATATCAATGAATTTCCTAAATACACACAACCCTGTTGGTCTGGGTCCAGTGTAACCAGGATCTTGCAACTTCTGAAATGACACTCAAAGTAGGTTTCAATGAACTCACAAGATACAAAGTTTACAGAGGATGTAGTTGGAAATGGTACAACAGAGAGCACATGTAGTAAACATAGTTCTGGATACTCAACACAGCCTTGATGTGTATTATTGACTCCTGTGACTTCCTCAAGCCATGCCGGCCAGACACGTGATGCCCACCATACAGGACTTTGCACGGAAGATGGTCGGCAGTGACGACATCTCCCCTGAGCAACTCAAACAGATCCGTGAACAACAGGAGGTGAGTAATGCAACCAACACAGGTTGCGAAGATAATGATTTGGTGTGAACTACTCCTATGCAACTGTTCACACAGAAGTGAATGGTAACGGAATATAAGAATTGTTCATATAAAATTAAGAAAAATTCCATTTTAAATTCAAAACAGTTTTACTTTAGGAAACCTGTACATACAAGAATAAACTTCAGTGCAAATGAAACGGACACTTTGAAATCTCAGAAGAGTAATAGGAGAGGTCGGGCTTATAAAATATTACAATATGATAAGGTAAATAAGTGCATGTGGGGAGTTGTTTTTTGTAACAATTAACATGACGATATCTGACTTTACTATAGACAGTTGATTGTTTCATAATGGCTTAACTTGAAGCACATGTTTTCAGTTGAACAAGATGTATGAGCTGATCCTGGCACAGAAGAAGGCAAAGGAGGCTGCGCTGATGGCTGATCTGCCGGGGATGAAGGTGAAGCCGAAGTACGAGTACGACTCGGATGAGGATGTAGAGGGGGGTACATGGGAACACAAGAACAGGAAGCTAGAGATGGAGGCCACCAAAGGTAGGTTCAGCCACTTCAAATGAAGCATCTAGCTTGTATCCCATGCAACTACTGTTTAATATTCTGACCTGTGAAGGTCGGGGTTAGAATGAGCCTTCAGTAACCCGTGTTTGTCATAAGAAGCAACTAATGGGATCGGGTGGTCAGGCTCGCTGGCCTGGTTGACACATGTCATCAGTTCCCAATTGCGCAGATCGATGCTCATGCTGTTGATCACTGGATTGTCTGGTCCAAACTCAATTATTTACAGACCGCCGCCATATAGCTGGAATATTGCTGATTGTGGCGTAAAACTAAACTCACTCACTCATTTAATATTCTGCATGATGTGGACTTTCTTCAGACAATGCTTAAAGACATGAAGTTTCAACAAATTATTTTAGGAAGTTCATGATTTCCAGCACAGACATCAATTTGATGTGATTCTTGAGGCTACATGCGTTTTCCAGTATTTTCCAAAACAAATCAATTTCTAGAAGTAATCCCAGAATAATAAATCATCATCCCAGATATGAGAGACTGAAGAGGTAATGCTTGTGGTTGTTTCATGAACTGTTCACTTTGAAAAGTACATTTTGTCCGTCATCTTTAACCCACAGTATTTTAATTAGTTATAATCTAATGCATTGTGACCTGGTTGCAATTAAGGCCATTTATTTGATTAATCCATCTGTAGTTTCCAGATTCTCTCAACAATAATGTTTTGCATGTCTTGCATACTGTTAACATGTTCTTGAATAGCATCTCACTGACTTGTCTGCCAGCTGACCATTAGTTGACACGCTGAACACTGGCAGTTGTACAATTGTAATGTTTTGATGATACACCATTTTGGAGAAAGTTGATAAACTGTCATTGTTTACCAGAATGGGCAGAACAACTGACAGATGTAAACAGAGGGAAGCATTTCATTGGAGACTTCTTGCCTCCCCAAGAACTGGAGAAATTCATGGAAACCTTCAAGGTATTGCTTACATTATTCTAAAATATTGGTGAACCATGCCATGTAATAGTGTTCTCTATTTGATGGTCTCACGGGTGGCAAGTAACAATATTTTTGAAATCAGTTTGTGATTGCATCTGAGCTGCCATAAGGAGGCAGTGAATGATTGTAAGAACGCAACAGCATGTCTTGGACTCAGAAGTTTCATAGTTCATCTTCATGAATACTGTAGAAGCCTGACTGTGTTTGTGTTGTAGGCTCTGAAGGAAGGCCGTGAGCCAGACTACTCCGAATACAAGGAGTTCAAGTTGACATGCGAGAACATCGGCTACCAGATGCTGCAGAAGCTGGGCTGGAAGGAGGGAGAGGGTCTCGGTAACGAGAGCCAGGGCATCACTACACCTGTGGGGAAGTAAGTCACTGTGTTAGCAAGATGAGACATTACAGTAATAGTTACAGAAGCTGGGCTGGAAGGAGGGAGAGGGTCTCGGTAACGTGAGCCAGGGCATCACTACACCTGTGGGAAAGTAAGTCACTGTGTCAGCCAGAGGAGACATTACAGTAATAGTTACAGAAGCTGGGCTGGAAGGAGGGAGAGGGTCTCGGTAACGTGAGCCAGGGCATCACTACACCTGTGGGAAAGTAAGTCACTGTGTCAGCCAGAGGAGACATTACAGTAATAGTTACAGAAGCTGGGCTGGGAGGAGGGAGAGGGTCTCGGTAACGAGAGCCAGGGCATCACTACACCTGTGGGGAAGTAAGTCACTGTGTCAGTCAGAGGAGACATTACAGTAATAGTTACAGAAGCTGGGCTGGAAGGAGGGAGAGGGTGTCGGTAACGAGAGCCAGGTCATCACTACACCTGTGGGGAAGTAAGTCACTGTGTCAGCCCGAGGAGACATTACAGTAATAGTTACAGAAGCTGGGCTGGAAGGAGGGAGCGGGTCTCGGCAACGCGTGAGCCAGGGCATCACTACACCTGTGGGAAAGTAAGTCACTGTGTCAGCCAGAGGAGACATTACAGTAATAGTTACAGAAGCTGGGCTGGGAGGAGGGAGAGGGTCACCATTAGCGAGAGCCAGGGCATCACTACACCTGTGGGGAAGTAAGTCACTGTGTCAGTCAGAGGAGACATTACAGTAATAGTTACAGAAGCTGGGCTGGAAGGAGGGAGAGGGTGTCGGTAACGAGAGCCAGGTCATCACTACACCTGTGGGGAAGTAAGTCACTGTGTCAGCCCGAGGAGACATTACAGTAATAGTTACAGAAGCTGGGCTGGGAGGAGGGAGAGGGTGTCAGTGCTTGAGAACCAGGGCATCACTACACCTGTGGGGAAGTAAGTCACTGTGTCAGCCCGAGGAGACATTACAGTAATAGTTACAAAAAGCTGGGCTGGAAGGAGGGAGAGGGTCTCGGTAACGAGAGCCAGGGCATCACTACACCTGTGGGGAAGTAAGTCACTGTGTTAGCCAGAGGAGACATTACAGTAATAGTTACAGAAGCTGGGCTGGAAGGAGGGAGAGGGTCTCGGTAACGAGAGCCAGGGCATCACTACACCTGTGGGGAAGTAAGTCACTGTGTCAGCCCGAGGAGACATTACAGTAATAGTTACAGAAGCTGGGCTGGAAGGAGGGGGAGGGTCTCGGTAACGAGAGCCAGGGCATCACTACACCTGTGGGGAAGTACCCCGGTAAGTCACTGTGTCACTCAGAGGAGACATTACAGTAATAGTTACAGAAGCTGGGCTGGGAGGAGGGAGAGGGTCTCGGTAACGACTTGCTTGTTTTTACAACACAAATGGAACATCTTTGGGGTTTTGTTGAAGAGTGAGAAAGGGAGGTAACTCATAGAAATATGGAAGTTGCCTCCCTTGTCACATTAGTCTTTTGGGGCAATAAATACGTTTGGCTTTTTTTAATATACTCTTTGAACTAAATTTTGCCTATTCTCACCAAAACATAAGAAAACCATTTCTGTTGACTGGTATTTGCTCCAAATCAAAGTTTCAGTATACTTTGTTTTGAGATATGAGATATTACATTTGTCAACATGACATTTAGGAACCAATATGGGAAGAACATTCTTGGTGTCCCCAGTCATGATGTGACTACACTTTTCAAAAGAGGCAAAATACAAGCTCTCGTTCGCTGTTTATTACAGACATGTTGTAGAATGTGTTCAGTATTACTTACATTGAGGATAACTGGCATTGTTGTATTGTACAGAGGCAACACTGCAGTGGAAGGGAGAGGTCTGGGCATTGAACGGCCAGCGGAGCTCGGCAAAGATGATGATGAGTTTGATGCATACAGAAAGAGAATGATGCTGGCGTATAGGTTCAGACCAAATCCGTTGGTGAGTTGATCTTCATTTTCCACATTTTCAAAATATAACTAACCTTTAAAATACTAAATCATTTCAGTTGAATCTTGACAACAATGCATCATCAGTTCTTTTTGCAGAAGAAGTCCTCCTTGGGGTACATATAAGCATTAAAATGTCCATTTTAAAAGCCTACGACAGTTGTAACAATATTTCAATAAAATATTTTACCAAACAAAAAACTCGTTATGTGTGGTGAGACCACCCCTACAGGGCCCCGTGGAGGGCCCCCTACAGCCAAGAGCAGGTAACTCTGGCTGTGTACCTCGTACCTCACTTTTCATGCTGTAAATTAGGCCGTGTGTAGGTGCGTTTGCATGGTCCAAGATCACGATAAGGATGAGTGAGATAGAGTCAAATCCTGTATGTATGGTTCCTTTTTTATTTCGGGCTAGCTGGAATCTTTGTATGACTTTTTTCATTCATGATTTGTTGTAACTTTACCGGCGTGTTAAGCTGTCTCCAGCCACGTGGCAGGCAAGATGGCGGACCTGGGTCGGAGTTCCGTTTTTCCTTCTCCTGGCTTTAGAAAAAGCCTTGTAGTCGGGTTGTGAAAGGGCTGATATTTCATTTTGTAGATTATACTTGCCTAAATTCCTCTTTTTCAGGCTTTAGGTAAGTTTTGCTTGAGTGTTTTAAATGGCGGCGTTTACGTGTCGCTCACACATGTTGCTCTTTGTCACCTATGTACGCAATTACGGCAGCTATTTTGGCTTTACGCTAGTAATTAATAGCTTTGCTGTAGCAGTTAAAATATAAGCCGAGGCGTTGTATTTTGTTCTGTTTTGTTGTGTGCATATTATATTATGTATATCGTACAGTCCTTGCTATTATCATAGCGTGGTTCTGTTTTGCAGCCCAAGGGTGTGTCACCTGTAGCGGCAGTTTGTTAAAGCCTCAGGATCGCCACCTGGTTTGCTTCACGTTGTTTAGCGGAGGAAGCCCATGGCCAACAAGGTTGTTCTATGTGTCAGGCTTTCTCCCCGCTCATCAAGTCCAGGCGTGCTGATTACATGTTCTACACGTCCTTACTTCAGGCGGGGGACATTTGGGTCAGGAGCCGCCTAAAGACAAAGATAAAAAAAAAGAAAAAAGGCTTCGCTTCCTCTCTTTGAGGGATGCTCCTAAGCGGTGAAGGGTACAGGGCCTCAGGCTCCTTCACCTGCCATCCCCTCAACATCACAGGCACCTTCCCCCCCTCCTGTCCCTGTTTCTAACCAGCTAACAATTGATTTACTTTCTGATATATTGCAGAAGCAGATGGATTCGGTCCACACTCTCGTGGCTGGCCGATGGCTGGCCTCCGACAGGATTGGTGTCCGACCAGGTGCGGGTGTGTGTGTGTGCGGGTCTATGGCGGGCAGTGCTCCCAACCTCAGCTTAGGCTCTGGTGTGGGGGTTTCTGTCGGGAGTGGAGATGCGTCGGCTCGAGTTTCGTCTCGGTTGCTGGCCACCCCTCCGCTGTAGTAACTACTACCGGCCCGAGCCTTGGCTCGGGGTCTGGTCCAGTAGTTAGTAGTTTGGCAGTCCCTGTAGTTGCCGCTACTTCGCAATTGGTCCCACCGCTTGCGCCGGCTTGGCCGGGCCATTAGGTGTCTGGATCATTTTGTCTACCATTGAGGAATCCCAGCGGGCTCTTCCTCATCACGGCACCCGGCGACTCAGTCTCGAAGTCTTGGGTGGGGTGCGGGCAACCCGGCTCTGCTCGAGCCTTTGTCCCTCTCTGTAGACCCCTCGGATGATCCCTCAGAGCTCTCTCTGGAAACAGAGACCTCACTCGTGAGGATCGATTCGAGGAGGCTATGGAGGAGGATGAGGGTCGGGAGGAGTTAGATGCATGCTTTGGTTTATTTCGGTGCGTCCCTGAGGCAGATGCACGGGGCGTGTTGCTTCTGTCCTGCCCCCAGGTAGTGGTCAGTACTGGCGCACCCGACCCTCAGGAGTTTAAGCCTCCCAGGAGGCTTTTGCTCCACCAAGGTGGGGACACAAGGCTGCGTATATTACCCTCAGTCTTGTCTGAAGTAATCAACCCCCTCCTCTGTGGTACCAGGTCCAGGTTGATTTGCCAGAACTTGACCCGTCGGTACCTCATGGGGGAGAGCTTGCCTCTACAATCCCCCAGTGGTTGGCGATTGTGTTTACGCATCCGTGCGCCCTGGGGGTTCGTCGGGTAATTCTATGGCTTCAGCCAAGCAAGGTCGCCGGCTTCCGCCCGTTCACGACTAACAGCTACAGGCGCTTAAATCCGCCTCGATCCTTTGAAGAGCAATACCGCAATGCGGTTCAATGCCTCAAAGTGGCGATCCATTCCGCCTACATCTCCGGTGTTGCAGAGGCAACTACTGGATGTGGGTGGGGTGGAGAAGATCGATCTCCCTCCACCTTGGCTAAGCAATTAGCGGAGGTACAGTCACATCTGGTAGCGATTCTATCAGGTCGTCGGCTTGCCAAATGATGTCGTGGGTGATGGGCCTCCGTTAAGCCTGTGGCTTTCGTGGCGAGGTATTAGCCTGCCACGCATAACAGGCTCTGCTGGCTGCCATTCCGGATGGGTTCTACCCTGTTCCCGGGGCAGCTACAGTAGTCCGGGAGGCAGCGAGGCTGTCTCAACCTTCAAGGACTCTAAGCCCTTGCTGGAACAGCCTCACACGTCTGCGCTTCGCGGCCCCGGTTGTCTCCTCGCATATCCTTCTGCGGCGAAGGAATCTGTTAAATGGGCTCAGCCCTTGCAGTCAGCTGAGGAGGGTAAGGGCAGAGAGCAGGGGCAAGGGGAGCAAGCCACGGCCCCACCAGCCTTTTCAGAGGAAGGGGAAGTCAGCCCGGCTTCCCAGCTATAATTCCTCCGAGCCCTTGTTGGTACCAGACCAAGCAGTCAGAGTACTGCCAAAGTCCGGTATTCAATGTCTCCTGCCACATATCCCTGTGGGTGGTCGACTTTCCCTCTTCCCAGTCGGAATGGGAAAAGTCCGTCCAATCCTGGGTCCTGTCCACACTCAGGGAAGGCCACTTGCCACAGTGGAAGCGAGACCCACCCCTTCTCCGGGATCCGTTGCACTCCAGTGCGGCTGCCCTAGAAGGCGGAAGTGCTCGATGCGAGGTCCAGTCGTTGCTGGACAAGGCAGCCATAGAGATGGTTCCTGTGGGACAAGAAATGTTGGGTTTTACTCAACTTATTTCCTTGTCACCAAAAGGGCGGAGGGTTCAGACCTATTCTAAACCTCAAAGGTCTGAGCGACATGTTAGAGGTACCGTCATTCAAGATGGAAACACTGCGTTCGGTGATTTAGTCTGTGGAGAAGGAGATTGGCTCCGTCAATGCGACCTCAAAGACAGCGATACTTCCATGTCCCTATGCACCCGAGTTCGGAAATACCTAAGGTTTTCCTTCGGCGGGGAGGTGCTATCAGTTTCGGTACTCCCCTTCGGCATTTCCACAGCGCCAAGGGTGTTCACCAAACTCATGCTAATTCCAGCTCAGGTAGCCAGGTCACAGGGCAGGTGCTGTCACCCGTTACCTAGACGATTGGCTCCTTAGATGCGCTTGCCACTCACTTGAGTCGAGTTCGCGACACTTGCTGTGATGAGTATTCTCACCAAGTTGGGCTGGATTATCAACCTCAAGAAATCAGAACTGGTTCCCACCCAGGATCTGGTGTTCTTGGGGCGAGGTTTGAGACAGCGAGGGATAGTCTCCCTGTCTCGGACAGCGTCACCAAAGTCCAGAGAGTTGTGTTACAATTTCGAGTTCCCCAGGGCCTCAGCTGGGACTTGGCTCCAGTTGTTAGGCAACATGGCGCAGCGGTGGACATCGTTTGGCGGCGGTTGAGGATCGACCCATTCAGCAGGCTCTAGCTTCGAATGTGGGTCCACACCCAGGGTTCTGAGTTGATTCTCCACACTCCAGGGTGGCTAATTCCTCATTTACGGTGGTGGACACTGGCAGGGGAATTTATCCAAGGGGCTCCCTTTGGACATCCCATCGCCAGATCTCTCAATTCAGACGGGCCTTCCCTCACAGGGTGGGGAAGTGCTGAAGCGCCCTGTCGGTCTCAGGCCTGTGGTCACAGAAGCGGCGCAACTGCACATCAATGTGCTAGAATTGAGAGCAGTCAGGTTGGTGTTCAAACGACTTGGGGGAGCAGGTTCAAGGCCGTGTGGTCCGTCTCGAGATGGACAACCAGGCGGCAATGACCTACATCCTGAAGCAGGCGATGCGGTTTCCCGTCTCTTCTGCAGGAGGCATGGCAGTTTCTGCTCTGGATGCGACCAGTTCGACATACGGGTAATGCCTGTTTATCTCCCAGGGGCGGACAGCGTTGAGCAGATGCACTCTCTCGTCGTATCCTGGCCCCACCGCGAGTGGATGCTCCATCGGGGGATATTCGGGGCTATCTCCCAGTTGTTGAGGTCGTTCCAGGTGGATCTGTTTGCATCTGGGGGCGAACCAGATTCCGGTGTTTTGCTCTCGGATACGGATCCGAGAGCCATCGCCCAAGGCGCTTTCCAGCTTCGATTGGGCCGGACAGGGTTCTGTGGGCGTTCCGCCACTACCCTGATTCCCAAAGTCCTCTTGCAGCTTGCCACCCAACCAGCTCGACTTCTTGTGCTCCTTGCACCCCTTTGGTCGGCTCAAAGCTGGTTTCGGTACTACTCAGGTTTCTGGCTCAGCCTCCTGTACTATTACCCTTTCGACCCGGACTTACTATCCCAGAGCGGGCGCCGCGCCCGAATCCAGGATTCAGTGGGTGGCCTGGCCTCTGTCGGAATGCGCCTCCACCTGAAGCGGAATTCCTGCACCAGTTGCAGACACAATTCTGGCTTCAGGCGGAGGGATTCGACAAGCGTTCAGTATGAGGATAGATGGGCCTGTTATGCGGCGCTGGTGTGTTAGGCAGAGGGTTTCTTGATCCCTTTTCTTCAACTGTAATTGAAGTACTGGAGTTCTTGCAGTCGGTTAGAAGCGGTTTAGCGGCGTCTACTATCGGGGGCTACTCCGCGGCAATCTCTGCCTTCCATATCCCTGCCGGCGGTGCTCTCTTGGGGCAGCACCCTCTCGTCTGCAGCTTTTTAGCGAAGCGTGGACAGAATCCGTCCGACTGTCCGGCGGATTAGTCCCCGTGGGACTTGTCAATGGATTCTTGATTGGATGTCGGTCCTCTCTTTCACGATCTGTCGTCTCTTTCCTCCAGCTGTTAAGTTGGAAGGCTGCCTTTCTTGTGGCGGTAGCGTCTGGCAGGCGGTAGGTGATATCCATCGCGATGTCAGCGGATCCTGCTCTGACTGTCTTTCACAAAGACAGAGTCAGTATTCGGTTGCCAGTCTCCCTACCGTCCTAAGGTGGCGGCCTTTCATATAACGGCCTATCGAACTGCCAGCTTTCACTCAGCCTCCATCGTCCGGTACCTCCCTTGGTGCTCCGTCTTAGATGTCCATTAAGACTCTCAAGGCTTATATCAAGCGAGCGGCTGCTATCAGGAAAGATAAGCAGCTGTTCTGTTGTTATGGCGGTGGCAAGGCTGGTCTTCCGGCCAACAAGCAGACCATATCTAGGTGGCTTGTCTCTGCCATTTGTTCGAGTTACTCTTACAAAGGATTAACCATCCCTCAGGGTTTAAAGGCTCATTCTATTAGGGCAGTGGCGACATCAAAGCATCGCGCGGCACTGCCCATTGAAGAGATCTGCTCAGCGGCTATCTGGAGCCGACCCGAGTCGTTCATCCGCCACTATCAGCTGGACAAACACTCACGGAGGCGTGCTCGGTTTGGCCAGACAGTTCTCACCAGTGGGCAGTGTCATTGATTCTCTAGCGAATGAGCCTTAGAAATCACGTTTGCTTTTCTCATGGTGTAGGTGTTAATAAATTCCTCAATTTTTATCGGTGGTGGTATCACATTGGTGGTGGTTTTACTGTATGTAGCGATTATCACTTTTCGCTACAGTCACTGTGTTCATCCCTGCACCACGCTTAGCTGGTTTGGGTTGCTGAGGGATATATATTGGACTCGCCCATACTTTCCCTCCCATTTTGATGGTTGGGGGTGGGACTTCGTCCGCCTTTATAAATTCCACCAATAGCCTATCGGCTAGGCTCCTTTCCCCATGCCACTTGCGCCCGCCTGATTGACATCAGCGGTCAGGTGACTAGGTGAGTGTACTTTCTCTCTCTGGCGGCCGGCTGTGCCTTCGACTGAACTAGGGGGTATGTTAGGCAGACAGAATACCACTCCGACTCAACATCGTTGGAGTCTGTCTTATGCTTATATGTACCCCAAGGAGGACTTCTTCTGAAAAAGAATTTTACAAACCTGGAGGGTTATGAATTCTTTGAAGAAAAGTCCTCCTTGAGTAGTCTGACAACCCACCTCCCCTCATTCTGTCTGACCGTTCAGCATGAAAAGTGAGGTCACGAGGTACACAGCCAGAGTTACCTGCTCTTGGCTGTAGGGGGCCCTCCACGGGGCCCTGTAGGGGTGGTCTCACCACACATAACGAGTTTTTTGTTTGGTAAAATATTTTATTGAAATATTGTTACAACTGTCGTAGGCTTTTAAAATGGACATTTTAATGCTTATATGTACCCCAAGGAGGACTTTTCTTCAAAGAATTCATAACCTCTCCAGGTTTGTAAAAATTTTGTTGAAAGTAAAACTATTTTATTTGCTTTTAAAACTGACAGCATAACCAACTTAAGGCTTGATTTGCAGGTAAAGGGACATAACTCTTGGGAACTTAATTTCCTCAGCCCTTCACCTCTGGCCTGAGGGAGATAGCTATATTTATTAAGGGACCATTCGTAACTACTCGTCCCTTTCCGTAACCTGAAAGTAGACTCTTACCCCTCTCAAAGCCATTTCATTGAACGTGACTCTGTCTGAAGCGCAACATCGCAGAGAGAAAGAAATAGCCTAGTCATCGAACTATTTTCAAGGGCATGTAACTCTAGTTTACGTGGAAAACACACATGGCATCCATGCCAAGGAAATTACCTCAAAGGGTATGTTTAACATGCTTAAATACTTTCCTACGCCATAACGTTAAAATATCCTCGTTATAAAAATTCAGGAACCCAGGAGGACTATGCAATAATTAGAATATACTTGAAGTGTCTGGGAAAAAATTATGCAAGCCGAAATGAAAAATATTTCAACTAACTATTTTGACCCAATTTCTTCTCTACATACGCGCATTCTGATTGGCTGGGGGAATATTTCTTCCAGACATGGCTACGAGAGGGTACGAGTCTACTTTCAGGTTACAGAAAGGGACGAGTAGCTACGACTGATTAAGGGACTTGTTTATATTTTGTTGATGAGCTAAGGGGCATGACAGTTCAAGGTCACATTTGAGCCATAGCAGACGAAAATATTAAGTAAGTACATGTAATGAGTATTACTTAAATGTTTTGATTAACTATGGTAGGTTAAATCAGTACTTAAAAACTTCCTTGTTAGGCCAAATGCTCACTGCTGTTTATTGGTGGTGGATGGATTTGGTTGGAATGTGAAGGTATTAGAGAAACAGTATATTTCCTTTGATCATTGCTCCGTGGGTGTTATGGAAACAAATCCTGTGATCAAATTAAGTTAACTCCAGTCAGCTTAAAAGGCTGGCTAAAAAGATTGATAATCAGAAATATCATCTAAGGGAAGAATTATTAATGATTACCTGTATGAAAATTGTCATTGTTAATATTGTACTTATGCTATTGCTGTGAAATATTTTGCTTTACTCACACAATACATAAAGTAATGCGATTATTCATTGGCTACTTCTAAACCATGTTGAGGACATAGAGAATACTACACTCGGTCTCATTACATACGAATTATACGAAACTCGTGACACTCGTTTCACACGAATTACACGTAAGCGAAAGTGTCACGAGTTTCGTATAATTCGTATGTAATGAGACCGAGTCTATTACCCACGTCTTACGTGCATTAAATTGACAAAATAGCGTATTCTTTTTCATATTTTGGTTTCAAACCGAAACCGGTTTCATAAAGAGGTTGCAGAAGAGTTTTGTACTGTAGTACAATATTTGCATGACGTCACACTGTAATGACGTCACTGCCTTGGTAACAGACGTCACGATGCTTGTCAGTTGTCATCGCCTCGTACAGTAAACTACTCCGTAGCACCGCGTTTCTTGGTTTGCAGTTGCTTCATTTGGCTAACATCACTGGTGGAAACATTGCGCTTATGTTTTTCGACGGATATCATGTCTCAGTTCGACTCACAAGTAAACAGCGACACGGCAACATTCGCAATGTTTACATTCCCACAATGCATTTAAGTTGTAGGAAGAATGAATTCACGTGTTTGTTATGAATGAAAAAATAGTTACGTCAGAATGTGACCTAATTGAGAGGTCATCGGTTATCCAATCAAGTTGTTAGAATCTCAGGTGAAGTCGTTACGACACAGGTCAACGCGATACGACACTCGTGTGACGGACGAGATTAGTATACAACTACCCATACGTTGACCACATGGGTAATAAACTGTTTAATTAGTTATCCATGCACAAATATGTCACCACTCACCAGTGATGTGAAATATGTTGATTACTTTCAGACATTTTTGCATTTTTGCTCAAATTTTTTCGATAACTGATCAATATTCAGTTTATGATTATCAATCTCTATCGTCTTTATCGATAACCAGCCTTACAATTTACCATTATCTGCAGTCCAATGAAATGGAACTAATTCTGGGTTTGGCCTCCACCTGTGATTATTCTAATGCCAACCACACAAAGATTTTTGACATTAGAATTATGCTTGCATAGACTTCTTCCAAATAGCCCTGGGAATTCTTACAGCAAATGTCATGAAATGGTAGAGGTTCAGATGACACAAGGTTGACAGTCATGCTAAAAAATGTGTTTTCTGTTTCTGAAACATTATTACTGCATTTATCATTAAACATAAGATAAGCCTTTTCTACATTGGGACCCTGCTTTGATAAGGTTTGGTCAAAATAATTTAATTTGCAAAGATAAGCATTCAGAAAGGAAGTTGCATGTATCTGCATTTAATGTTTGTGTTTGTGCAATGTCTCAAAGGTCAGGGTCATATGTCTCAAAGATCAAGTATATTTTGAAACTGGTTGTGGCAGTTTCTGTTTAACTTTTACAAGTCCTGAAACTTTGGAAATGTTGTAACTGAAGAAGATGTCAGGTTTGGTGTCAAGTTCTGGAAGTAATGTTTTGGGGGTGGAAGAACATGCTGTTGATCACTGGATTGTCTGGTCCAGACAAACTAAACTCACTCACTCACTGTTTTCGACAGTATTTGCAAACACCACCAGCTGATGTGTACTTTGAGAGACTGTCATATGTGACAGGAAAAACTGTTTTATTGCTTTTTGCTTTATTTTGCAGAATAACCCAAGACGACCATACTATTAAAGCATGACATTCAGAGGAGAGGTTTGCCTTCTTACTGATGAAGTTCTACAGCTCCAGTGATTTAACAGCAGTTAAGAGTACAGATATACATATAACATACAAATGTACAACATTTACACATGTATTCCAGGTCACTGATGATCAGCTTATATTAACCATGGTTTGTGTGGCTGGGTAACAACCTGTGGCTGCAAGATTGTGTGAAGCTTTACATGTGGTGTCATTCCTACCTGTAACCGCAAGATGGCGGAAAGCTTCACTTGTTATGCAGTAGCTACAAGATGTTGGGACGATTCTAATACTGGTATGATTGGTACCTGTGCTTCAAGATGGTGTAAAGCTTTACTTGTTATGCTTTAATCACATTTACCTGTAGGTGCAAGATGGTATAAGCCTCGCTTGTTACCTGTGCTGCAAGATGGCATAAAGCTTTACTTGTTATGCTCGTATCACATGTACCTGTGCTACAAGATGGTATGTAGCTTATCTTGTTATGCTCGTATCACACATACCTGTGCTACAAGATGGTATGTAGCTTATCTTGTTATGCTCGTATCACATATCCCTGTGGCTGCAAGATGGTATATAGCTTCACTTGTGCTGGTATCATTGGTACATGTAACTGCAAGATGGGTACAAAGCTTCACCTGTTACCTGTAGCTGCAAGTTGGTGCAATCACATGTTACCTGTAGGTACAAGATGGTACAATGCTTCACCTGTTACCTGTAGCTGCAAGATGGTGCAAGCTTCACCTGTTACCTGTAGCTGCAAGATGGTGCAAGCTTCACCTGTAGCTGCAAGATGGTGCAAGTTTCACCTGTAACCTGTAGCTGCAACATGGTGCAAGCTTCATCTGTTACCTGTACCTGCAAGATGGTGCAAGCTTCATCTGTTACCTGTAGCTGCAAGATGGTGCAAGCTTCACCTGTTACCTGTAGCTGCAGCATGGTGCAAGCTTCATCTGTTACCTGTAGCTGCAAGATGGTGCAAGCTTCATATGTTACCTGTAGCTGCAAGATGGTGCAAGCTCCATCTGTTACCTGTAGCTGCAAGATGGTGCAAGCTTCACCTGTAACCTGTAGCTTCAAGATGGTGCAAGCTTCACCTGTTACCTGTACCTGCAAGATGGTGCTTCACTTGCCATTCTGGTATTGTGTGCCTGACACATATGACATAGAGATACAAGGTTTACCATGCCTCATATATTTGTGGCAAAGACTGAAGCACTTTTGATTCAAATCTGTAATTTCACTGTCTGATGACTATCTTACAAAACCTTGATGTAAATAAGTTGTGAAAATGCTTGTTGTATGAAAGTTAATACATGAATATGGTGTTTGCGATTCAGTCTTATTCAGGTTGTCATTATCATTTGTGTTATTTCTGTAAATACCTTTTACATGGAGTTTGATTTGTGCTGTTTTACCCAATAGTGCTCGCAGGAAATAATTACAGGGCCTGCCAGGATATAGGCTCAACTGGAATTAAATTGATTTATTGACTTCAAGGAGATATATATGGTTTGGTTTTTTTTCCATGTTCTCATAGTCAATCTTCATCTTGTTATTTTTTGTCAGTAGAAGTGTTGTGTGATGTCTAAGCAGGGTGAGTGATCACTGTCATGCAGACAGTATTCATTGTTTTGATCTTTTTGATGTAGATACAGTAAAATAGGAAAATCCTTGTGAGGGTAGTAGAGGATTTTTTGGTTCTTTAATCGTGCACTCCTGATAGCATTTAAGTTATGACACATCTATGCACTTCTGAGTACAAACATCACTTCAGGTGTTATCTGTTTCATGTATAATTCTAATGGCTCTATTTCCAGTGATTAAAATGACAATAATCAACTTCAGTGTCCTTGTTTGTTTAACTTTACAATCAACTTGGTGGATTTGGATTTTGCCATGGTCGAGTGGATAGCACATGTGCTTAGAGAACAGAAGGTCGAGGTATCCTGCTGTTGACCTTGGGGTCTAGCTGTTAGACTGTGGCATGTCATATCAGTTGGCTACCTCTGTAGATCCGGGAGAGCGGAAGGTTGCGGGTTCAATCCCCGACCGCGGCATACCAAAAGACGTTAAAATATGGTACTTGTTGGTCCCTGCCTGGCTAGTCTGGGCTAGTACAAGCAGCCGCACATACATATACACATACACACGCATGTACGTCGTCATATGAGCGAAATATAAACCCAATTTCACCTCACCTCTACAGATCCAGATAGTGGTAACTTATTCGTTACAACATTCGCTCATCACAGCAAAGGCCTGTGTTTAACTTCCCACATAGGTACAATGTGAGCAGCACATTTCTGGTGTTCCAGAGTGGTATTGCTTTAATTTTGCTAAAAGTGACACAAACTCCAAATTACTCACTACCCTCCCCAATACTGCAGCTATATGGCGGTGGTCTACACGATTGGGATACAATGACATGTGTCAACCAAGTCAGCAAGTCTGACCACCCGAAACCGTTAGTCGCCTCTTACGACCAGCTTGGGTTGCTGAAGACCAATTCTAACTGGGATCTTCATGAAAATGTTATATTTAAGCATGTAATAGGTATGAAGCTTATTGCTGAAGTATTCGCCTGGGAGGGAACATTTCACAACAATATCAGTAGCTAAGAAGTAAGCAAAACAATAACAGGAGAGAGGTAAAGAGAACACAGACTGAGTTCTCACCTTGATGATGATATAGTAGGACACTCAGGAGCAGCAATATGGGTTAAGAGGGATAAAAATAAAAATAACATAAACAACAGCCTAGAACTAGCTGGAGACCTTGCCACAAATGTCCATAAATGGTCTGGTGAGGGTTGAGGCCCGGATTCCCAGAAATTAAGGATTATTTTATGGAAAGACCAAATACCCAATGAGGGCAAGAACGGGAAGGAGGTGAACAACCTATTTTTGTAGGATGAGAGATTGTTGACCAATAAGAAATAATATGGGCGGGTGTGACAAAGGAATCAGGATTTAAAATAAAGCTTGATATGTGGTTGACAAACTGGGGCGTGCCTGAATTGGAATAACCTTCATGCCTTGTCAAAAATAATTTGAAGCACCAGCAAAGAACACGGGAGCTTTGTGGCTGAAATCTCCTGATTAACTGACAAATAGAGCAGGTTGAATGACGAGAGAATAAAAGTTATTGAAAAAAGAACATCCTTTCGTGGTTGCTGGGGGAACTGCGGTAACGAGGTCCTTCTGGTGCTGATGCATTACCTCTCGCATCCTACTGTCAGAACCAAGTACAAGGGTATACTGCAGTTCCGGAGAAGGTACGTCAATCCATAACACAGACGTTGCTAATTATCATCAAGAGTTAAACAACCATTTAGTACCTTCTGATCACCATGGACAAGTGATAACTAACAGATCTAAATGCCCTGGACAATATTGATGCTGTTTTTGTTCATTGTTTTCATCCTCTCTCAGCAATATTTGGGCTACATAATGGCGGTCTACAAATAATGGTCTCGACCAAAAAAAGCCAATTCAGTAAATGACATTAGTAGCAACATGCTCCACAATTGGGATACGTGTGAGCCAAGTCAGTGAACTTGACACCACCCGATCCTTTTAGTCGCCTCATACAAGCATGTGTTGCTGAACACGAAATTCTAACCTTCACTGTCCTAATGTAGAATATTGTTCGTGATTTCAGTCCCCAATTGGCCTTGTCTTGACTGGAGTTTGCTGACACACCAACATGATGTAGTCAGATGATTGCAGACAACTGAGTGAGTGAATGAGTTTAGTTTTACCGCGCACTCAGCAATATTCCAGCTACATGGCGGTGGTCTGTAAATAATCGAGATTGGACCAGACAATCCAGTGATCAACAGCATGAGCATCAATCTGCGCAATTGGGAACCAATGACATGTGTCAACCAAGTCAGCGAACCTGACCACCCGATCCCGTTAATCACCTTTTACGACAAGCATAGTCGCCTCTTATGACAAGAATGGGTTGCTGAAGACCTATTCTATCCCGCATCTCCACGGGTCTACTGACAACTGCATGAACTATGGAAGGCCAGATGTACAGGTGTTCACTCACCAACGTGATGTAGTCAGATGATTGCTGACAACTGCATGAACTACCATGTTTATGTAAGGGTGTTCACTGTATTATTTGTCACATCTGAATGCCACAGGTCTCAATTGGGTATGGTGGCCCAGTATTGTGCAGTGATTTGTGCACAACTGAAGAAACTTGAGAAGCTGGAGATCAAGACAATCCATGGCAGAGGACCATATATATTCACAAACAAACAAATAAAAGAGTGTAAATATGTTTATTTAAATCTAACACATCAATACCAATATGTCTTTGCTGGCTTCCTGTCATCTTTAATACCCATCTTTTCCATTATGTCTTGTTCAAATGTGCATAATTTGGGTTTGAAAGTAATTTTCTTCAGTTCTTTATCTCTAGTGTCCTTGTCAGTTTCTGCAAAACAAAAAGGAGGATGAAGAAAAACCAAGTTCTATGGATAGTCAACTTCTTTATGAGTGCGACGTTTCAGTGTCGGTACCAACACCATTATCAAGCAAGTGATGATAACGCAATTGGGATACGATGTGTCAACCAAGTCCTACCACCCAATCCCGCTAGTCGCCTCTTGCAACAAATTCTAAACTGGATCTTCATGGGAAGATGACAACGAAGCCAGAAGTAGCTGGATATAACATACCAACATATGAACTAATCTGCACCATGTCGTAGGATTCGTCCTCTGCTGTCTTTGACAAAGGAATGACTCTCCCTGTCCGTGTGGAAACCCGTACCCTGACACCCTCCTCCGTGTACCGCCACTCTGTGTCCGTCGCTTTACTGGAAAGACACAGCTTATTTCAGTATGTGAGATGGGTTAATGGCCCAGTCTGCAGTAACACAGACTGGAATTTGATTTCAGCATGACTTCAAATCTCTGGACACAGGTCTTAAATGTTTATCATTGGTGTAATCCACAAAAATGAGTACCGTGCTAACCAAGGTACATATTTAGGCTGAGACAGAATCAAATCTATATGATCATGGGTTCCTGTTATGTCTAAGGGATGCAACTCTGCATGGAGGACTAGGTCACCTTGCTTCTCTAAAACACCCAAGCACACATACACAACTGATATATGGAGGGTACATCAACCCATGGGCCCCGATGGACCACTGAACAACGTATTTATCTTACCGAACGTCTCAATGTTAATTTTGAACTGTTTGAAGCACAGGTATTGGATCATAATATTAATAAGGTGTACCGGAGTTAGGCCACAGCCCAAACACTACTAACACGAAGTATCAAATGAATTCCCCCATTTTGGCATTTCCAGCAGGTAACATAGAAAATGTTACTCGCTTGTAATCGGGTACATGGATTGGCTCAGCCAATCAGAAAACAACACTTATGTGTGAGGTATGATAATATTTGTTATTTAACAAAGTAATTTGCAATATTCTCACATAATAAGGGACCGTGCATAATTTATGGCTAGTGTTAGTGTTAGTGTTAGTGTGTGTGTGTTAGTGTTGTTAGTGTGTGTGTGTGTGTGTGTGTGTGTGTGTGTGTGTGTGTGTGTGTGTGTGTGTGTGTGTGTGTGAGTGTGTGTGTGTGTGTGTGTGTGTGTCCACCCATTTTGTTTTGGGGGTGTCAGCAATTTTGTACACATGTACTGGGGGGGAGGAAAGGTCAGCAATTGTGTACATAGAAATATTTAAAAATTATGCTTAAACAGTATGGGAAGGGAGTGGGGTCATTGATTTTGTACATGACATGCAGGGCGGGGTCACTTACTTTCACCAGCTACATGAGCCTTACAATATGTATCAAAAAGCCTGACCAACCCCAACCGGTCAGTTGAGTGGCTGAAACAAGTTCTAACCCAGATCTTCATGGGACAGAAATATAATGAGGAGGGAGGTAAGTTCAGTGAAGAAAGCCTAATCAAGCCTAATCAAACCTAATGGGTACTGACAGGCCTTAATGAAACGTTGCAAGACTGGATGACAACTTACTTATCTGCAGGGTCAATAAGTGCTACTTCTGTGGTCACCAGGAGTGGTTTCTCTTCCTTGACGAGAGTGCCTGGACTGGTTGCGGACTTGTTGAGCCACCTGTACGACTGCCGTCAACAGAGAATCACATAAAACTACACAATCTACACGAAGTCACATGTTATTTTTATAACCTTTGACTTATGTGGCTTTTGACCAAAGAAACCTAAACATTCTGTTTCCTGACATCCTTTCTGTCCCATCTGGTGTCTGTAATATGAGTCTACCTAATTCTGGTTCCACATAAGTAAACTCTACAAACACTGGGGACCAAAATGAACAAAACTTTCTTATCAACTGACTCTATCTGAGATAATAGAGTTATTTCTGCTCAAGCTGGTGAACGTTTCATGCTTACATAGGTGAGACTACAAACTTCTGGTTCTTCAAAAGACATTTAGCACACAGAGCACATCATAATTGCGAATTGCTGCACTCTATAAATGCATGTATTATTATTATCATCATTATTGTTACATAGGTCTCATGGAAACATTATTTCATGAATACTGACAAAGGTGATAATGTGGAACCTACACAGTTGAGGCCCTCCACAAAGCACCAGTTCCTCTCCTTGATGATGCAGTTGATGAGTCCTTGCTTGCCCTTGTCTGGACCAATCAGAATCTCCACCTGGAATATACATCACTACTGTATGAGGTGGCTCGCTACTCGTACAAGGCAGCTCACAGCTGGTATAAGGTGGCTCACTTCATGTATAAGCTCTTATATAGGCCCTCTACTTCCCATACACAGTGACATATTCCCTGTATAAGGCTCTATACTTCCCATACACAGTGACACACCCCATGTATAAGGCTCTATACTTCCTATACACAGTGACACACTCCATGTATAAGGCTCTCTACTTCCTATACACAGTGACACACCCTTTGTACAAGGCTCTCTACTTCCCATACACAGTGACACACCCCTTGAACAAGGTTCTATACTTCTTATAGAGTGACACACCCCATGTATAAGGCTCTATACTTCCTATACACAGTGACACACCCCTTGTATAAGGCTCTATACTTCCTATACACAGTGACACACCCCTTGTATAAGGCTCTATACTTCCTATACACAGTGACACACCCCTTGTGAAAGGCTCTATACTTCCCATAAACAGTGACACATTTCCTGTATAGGCTCTGTACTTTCCATTAACAGAGGCACACATATTGTATAAGGTGCTATAATTCCCTAAACAGTGACACATTTCCTGTATAGGCTCTGTACTTTCCATTAACAGAGGCACACATATTGTATAAGGTGCTATAATTCCCTAAATAGTGACACAATCCCTGTATAGGCTCTGTACTTTCCATTAACAGAGGCACACATATTGTATAAGGTGCTATAATTCCCTAAATAGTGACACAATCCCTGTATAGGCTCTGTACTTTCCATTAACAGAGGCACACATATTGTATATATAATTCCTTTAAATAGGTGCTATAATTCCCTAAATAGTGACACAATCCCTGTATAGGCTCTGTACTTTCCATTAACAGAGGCACACATATTGTATAAGGTGCTATAATTCCCTAAATAGTGACACAATCCCTGTATAGGCTCTGTACTTTCCATTAACAGAGGCACACACATTGTATAAGGTGCTATACTTCCCATACACAGTGACAGACATTTGCATGGGGTTGTACATGAAGTGTGGATTGGGTATTACGTTTCATAAATTAACTTTTTTTCAGAATGATAAAGTGCTTAAGTGATATCAGTATGCATTCACAGGGTTTTACCTTGGCTTGCAAATTTTGGGTCCAGGGGACCATAATCAATACATTTTACAGGTCCTTGGTGGCAATATGAGTGTCCTGTAAAGTATTGATATGGTGTAGTGTAGTTTATGTTCAGATAATGACTTCACAGCCCGGAATGAATCAATGATTGTGTGATGTAGGTGTGTTCTCGGTATTATTGTGTGTCTCTCCAGACGTGGTATTTCATGCTTTCTGCATCCATTCTGTGCATTTGTGCGTACCAGATGCACATTTGCGCGTCACATAAAACCCTGATTCAATTACAAAACAGATCATCTGATGAATACATTTCAACACAAGACCCAGAGATCTCATTTTACCATATATTGGATATTTTAACACTATGTGAATTAAAAGAATGGTTCTCGCTGGTCAGAAAAGTCCCATTATACAATGCATGAACTATTTGCTCTCCATTATATTTTAATGAAGTAAATACTTTGCTTAACAATAACAAAAACTTAATGGACAACATGTATGAAGAGAGTAAAATGTCAGCTTCAAATGAAATTACTGGGTATCAAATTGGTATAATTAGTAACATCCGCAAATGGGAAATCTCATAACCTTTATGTCCTAATTGTGTACGAATGCTCCGACATAAATACTTTTAATGGTATGTGTTTTTTTGAGTGAGTGAGTGAGTGGGTTTAGTTTCACACTGCATTTAGCAATATTCAAACAATATCATGGCGAGGAGACCAGAAATTGGCTTCACACGTTGTACCTATGTGGGGAATCTAACCTGAGACTTCGGTGTGAAGAGCAAACGCTTTAACAACTAAGCTTCCCCACCTCCCCATGTTTTTGAGTAATTATGTATAAACATTAAAGAATAATGTGCACACAAGTTCAATAATTAATAGCTCCTTGAGGTATGACTTATCAGGGCTCGATTAAGTGCTTGTTACTTGCACTGGTGCAACCCAATATTACATAGTGCAACCTAGTTATTAGTCTAACTTGCACCAGGTACAACTCAATTTTTGAGTGGGTAAACTTCTAAATAAAACATCTAAATAATTCAATAGCATATTTCTTTCATTACATATTGCAATAAAAACAGTACAACTGAAATCTGGCTGGTGCAACTAGGTTTTTAGCTTTGGTTGCACCTGGTGCAAGTAGGTTAACATCTTTTAAATCGAGCCCTGCTTATGGTGACATATTTTAGTCAAACTGCTACAAATATGGTTTTTAAATGGGGTTAACGGGTATGGTATTCCAGTTAAATGCAGTTTCATAAATAAAGTGAGTTTGAGTTCATCTGACCACAGATGCTGTAAACTATGTTGAGTTAGTGCACCGTTGTAAACTTCACAAGATTACAGTATATTTAGTGTGAGCAATAGTTAATGAAATTTTGAACAGTAGGAATAAAGGAGACAACAAAAAAAGTCTAGATAAACAATGAATACTTTTTATGACAAGACAGCGTAATTACATGATTAAATTGAGCAATTAATTTCTGATTTGTTGACATAGTATTTCCAGGGTTATGAGTTCACAGTAATGATTGTGCATGGGATAAAAACATCAAGTTTCATTATGGCCTGTATATTATGCATCTCCCCACACGTCAATATACATACAAATCTGGGTGTTTTTTAACTAGAATTTACTCACGAAAATATGGTACATGATACTCAGTCTAGGTAAACTTAGGCTCAGTATTATTCGTTACACTGCTATACTGAGTCTAACAAAACCTTGTGGAAGGTCGCGTCAGGTAACCTTTTCCATTGACCAATCGGAACACAGCTTACCAAATCGCGAAAGTTGACATTCGCACATACCTTTTGAACTTTTACCTCAAAAAAGTTTTTATCATCCAAAACTGTGTTCCACAGGAGATATCGCTTGTGTGAGATCAGACGATATCTCCTAGGAGATATCGTTTTGACAGTAGATTTTGCACAATGCCCTGACAAAGCTATGACTTCATGAACTTGATGACGTCACAATGCTATGACATCGCTGCACTGCAAATCTAATGGCAGTACTGTGTTCAGAGATGTACATTTTTCATTGAAAACTAATGAAGAGTGATTTTTGATAATAAATAGAATCTCACCCTCGTGTCTTCTGATATCAAATATATCAACACTAGTTGATAAAAGTAAAAATAGCCTCGGCATGCCTTGAATATTTGTTACTTTATCAACTCGTGGTGATATATTTGATATCAAAAGACACTCGGGTGAGATTCTCTATGTACACGAACGATTCCGAATGCTATTTTCCGTACGATCGCTTCCGAGTGATGCTCATGGAGCACGCCACAACCATGAGTAAGCAGTCGCTGAAAATAGCGTTTTGTCAGTATTCAAGGATGTCAGCTTGCGGAAATATTAGCTAATGATAACCATGTCAACAGAAACCCCAAAGTGTATAATCTGCAGGTCATATATCTGTGTTTTATGCGGGTTTTCATTTGTTGTGAGATCAGTGTTGGCGACCGGGCAAGAGTAAATCCATTTTGTAAGTCCCGCCGAACCCTAAATAGTAGCCGTTGTCTGATTTGTTAAATCCATTCTGTCGTCTCGCGTTTGATTGGATGGTCATAGGTCGCTCACAAGTTACCTGACGCGACCTTCCACAAGGTTTTGTTAGACTCAGTATAGCAGTGTAACGAATAATACTGGGGCTAAGTTTACTTAGACTGGGTACATACTGGTACTATAAATCTTTGAATATAACTAACACTCATTAAAATCAGATTTTCTACTCAGATACAATACTTTTCTGCTTAAAGATCTGATGACCTCTCCATAGAAGGTTGTGTCAGGGGAGCCCTTGCGATGCTCGTGCTGTTGATCACGGGATTGAATGGTCCAGACTCGATTATTTACAGACCTCTGCCATATAGCTCAAGTATTGCTGAGTGCGGCGTAAAACTAAACTCACTCACTGAATAAATTATGACTGTGCTTTGTAACTGCAGGTCTGCCTGTGCTGAAGAAAGTCTAACCGCCCCAAAAAAACAAATGAAACTCAAACATCACACAACAGTAGTGTGTATAGATTTTCAGAATACATAGGCATAGCCTTATTTATTTACATTCGAAACAGGATGTTTCATTTTGTTTTCAAGATACAGGAATCATAATCTGAATGTTCTTGTATCAAGAATCAAGACCCCGAATGGTGAGGTATCACATCGGGAAAAAAGATCTGATCAAAGATTATGAATACTCCATATGACAGGATTTTTAATGTTTATCACACAAAAACAAACACAACTTGGTCAGGTATGTTTATTAAACCAAACAATCCTACATGTGTCCAAAAATTACAAGCCAACAAAAGCAGCAACATGCAAGTTAATGATAGTCATCTTTACAAATTCAATATCAAAACAAATTCCTCTTGACTTCAGAATCAGCTTACCACAGTGGCTTCTATCAGAATGCACATAAGGAATTACTTCACTAGAACTAGAGAAACCAAATCTGTTATCACGCAAGAATTCCAACAGACCAGAGACCAAAACATCCTGATAGCACAGAGCTTTCAACAACATTCAAAGATCTACAGCTAAATGTGGGTAGATCATCGCTCGACTTAAGCTGCCGACAACTGAATGACTACAGAGTTACTGGTAAAATCGTGGAACCATGGAGGACATATGTGGTCAGCTATCTCTCTTGCATTGGGAAGATGGGTTCTATTTACCCCCTTGATTACATGGCACAGGGTATACATAAAAGTATATTCCAAACTCTTCTGACTTCACAGTTGTACTCATAAATAATTGCAATGTTGAAAAAACCTGAAGGTCTTTCTACCCATTTCGTATGGTCAAGAGTTATCAGAACCCATATCTATATAAGCATTTACACAAACATA